GGAAAAAGCTCACGCGTTTCAAATTGAAAGCATTAACTGCTTATACATGAACGCCGCGAGTCTACCAAATAAAATAGATGAAATAAGTGAACTTAGCAATACTAATAAGGTTCATCTGATAGGAATATCTGGAACTTGGATATCTCCTCAGTTTTCGGACCAGAAGCTAGCAATACATGGGATGTTTCTGTTTCGCAATGACAGAAAAACAGGAATTGGGGGTGGGTAGCCCTATACATACGATCCTACTTGAAGGTACATCGAGTTCACAACCATGAGTTTGACAAACTTGAGGAATCTATATGTTGCTCTGTGAGATTGTCCACTACTTCGAGGTGCCTAGTCAGAGTCATATATTGGAAGCCCACTGCCGACATCGAGTATGACAGTCGCATGCTGGAAGGACTATCCCGCTCTACACGTCTCGGTTTCACTCGTATACTGATTCTAAGGGACTTCAATCTCCCTAGAGTCGACTTCGCGGAACATATGTATATTGGAGGTGAAAATTCAACCGAAGCTCGGTTCTTCAACCTCATTGAGGATTTGGGATTACCCGAAAATGTGAAGTTGGCTACTCGTTGGAGGAACAGTCAGACACCGTTGCGCTTAGACTGTGTTTTTACAAGTGAAGAATTTCTAGTCGACAAATTCTCAATTCTGACTCCCCTGGGGAAAAGCGATCACGCCGTCATAGTCTTCAGTTTTGTCAGCTAAACTGAGCTAAGATATCTCAACAACAACAGGCACTGGAAGTTCAAACGGTTGAATTTGTCAGCTCTACAACAGGTGGATTGGGATGTTCACCCTCAACTTGATGTGGATGGTCATTGGGACTTCTTACTACACACGCTCTTATGTGCTACAAAGCAGTCAGTCCCTCAATCAGTCTCAAAAGCCACATGCAACCTACAATAATCAAAAACCGCATTCTTCGTTTGTTAAGCCGTAAAAGGCACTGTTGGGCAGAATAACAACGAACCGACAACAGCAGCGGGTACAAGCAATACAAACATATCAGAAACATAAGCACGGAGGATATAAGAAAAGACAGACTTCAGTACCAGTTAAAGCTTATGGATAAATTTATTTCCAATCTGAAAAGCTTACTCCGTTACGCAGCCTCTCTTCGTCAAGCCAAAACTGGAGTTTATCAACTGCTAGGTCCTAACGGCCCGACCGATAATGACGGTGACGCCACTAACCTTCTGGCTGAGCAATACTCCCGGACATTTCAGCCGACCCACATCAACTATACTGATGACGGCTTCATCTGAAACTACACAGGACTTTCCGTAGTGAACCTGAGCACTGACTTGGTGCTCCGAAAACTACAACACCTAAGAACAGACACTTCTCCTGGTCCAGATATGGTCCACTCTGCTATACTGAGGGAAGCAGCTTCAATCCTGGCAACACCGCTTAGCGTGATGTTCTCACACTCTCTAAGTTGAGGCAAACTACCGGATATTTGGAATCTGGCTCATATCACACCAATCTCCAAAGAAGGTCGACGCACTGAACCTTCAAGTTACCGACCGATGACTCCTCTATATACCTTCAAAGATCATGGAATCCCTGGTATAAGATGGTATACCCGACTATCTGCCGTCCTTGAATTTCTTCTCACCCTAACAGCATGGTTTCAGGAAGGGCTACTCCTGCATGACTAACCTGCTGACTGCGGTGGACAGATGGACAAGCATCGTTGATAGCAAGGAGAAGGTGGATATCATTTACCTTGATTTCTCTATAGCCTTTTATAGGGCTAACCACATTTGTCTTATCAACAAGCTCAAACAATTGGGTATCAAACCACCTTTAACTGACTGGCTCGGTTCATATCTGACAAATCGACATTTTAAGGTCAGGGTAAACTTCAATTTCTCACACGCTATGGAATGTCCTAGTGGAGTCCCACAGGGCTCAGTACTAGGACCTCTTCTCTTCCTGATTTATATAAATGATCTTCCTCAACAGGTAACGTCAGACTTATTGCTCTTTGCCGACGACGTGAAACTTTGGAGAGAGATGCGCAACCAAGAGAATATACAGGCACTTCAGGAGGATCTGACTCGACTTCAAAGTTGGGCAGACGACAACGGAATTAACTTTTAACACTTCAAAGTATAAAGTAGTCCATCTGCGACACGTCACAGATTACAGTTACAACTTAGGAAACTCCTCTCTAGTAGTATCCCGAGTCGAAAAAGATTTAGGGGTTCTGGTGCCCTACGACTTAAAGTCTTAGGCCAACTGTGACAGAAATGCCTTTCGAGCAAACCTTGCACTGGTAACATTGAAGCGCATTTTTGGTCAGTTTGACGGGAGAACTTTCCATATAATCTTCAACAGTTTTATTCGTCCCCATTTAGAGTACGGAAACATAGTATTCCCTCCTACACTCCAAAAGGATAAGGACACTCAGGAGCGTATCCAACGGCGAGCCACGAAATCAGTTCAGGGACTCAAATTTAAACCTTGCGATGAGCGCCTCCAATCACTCGACCTTTACTCATTAGAGTATAGGCGTCTTAGAGGTGACCTTCTAATGGCTTACAGTATCCTTAACACACCTGGACATCCTCTTAAACACCTACTTAAGCTTAGTCCAAACACTAACCTAAGGGGTAATACCCAGAAATTAGAGATACAACATAGTAGAACGGACTGCAGGCACAACTCCTACTCCTTAAGAGTTGTCAAGTGCTGGAATTCGCTGCCAGCTGAGCTAGTTCAAGCAACTTCTCAGGAGTCCTTTAAGAGGCGACTTGATCTATTCTTAAGGACTAAGGATAGTATCTTACTATGATTTGCCAATTTCTTTTTTTCTCTTTTATCGTTAATATACCTAGGTTCTTGCCTGGAGGTATTGGTGATCCCCTGCTACTAGACACGGAAGCCTGTTAAGCGAAAGCTTCTTCTGTTCCGTCCACAACCATTTGAACCATTATATCAGTTCCAGATGATATTAACAATTTTCACCGGTACACAGTACTTTCAATGGAGGTTCCATAATGTCCTCCTATCTGCATTGTCAAACGTTTTCCAACAGACAAGGAAGTTGATGTGCAGTGACAAATTCCACACAATTGATTGTTCAACGATTATCCTCATTGTCGCTATTCTGTCTGTGCGTGAATGATCCTTACGGAATCCAGCCTGCTGATCTCGAAGTTTGGCGTCTACTGAATCTTTCATCCAGTTCAGAAACACTCTGTTGAAAACGTTTCTCGATACCGATAGTAGTATGATGCTTATGTAGTTCTCACATTTACTTAGATCTCTTTTCGTTGGTTTCTTGATGAGTTATCCTTCTTTCCAGTATGTTAGCGGCACTTGTTCCTCCTCATGAATCTTCCCGAATACAACGTGAAGCATGATTGCAGTTACTTCTATGTTTAAATTCAATGCTTCAGTTGTTATATCGTCAGGTCCCTAAATTGACCTGCGAAGAAAATATTGTAATGTAACACGAAGAATGTAAACAAAATCACTCTTAATGTCATGACTCTGGAAGAGGTCGAGGCCTTAACATTCGTGAACAGCATCATTGATAAAAAAGAGGATGTCGAGTCTGAGTTTGAAATTATTGATGCGAATGACTAGTAATGACATTGAAACTAATTTGCCGGACTCCAACTTATGAAAATTCACAATAACTTTCTTAAAGTGGTTTTTTTCGCTAGAACGAATACTTGCTACCGTACGAATAAAATCAAGTGTAATCAAAAATTCAAAGTTGTCAGTAGTCCCAACATGGAGAAAGCCCTCAAAAAGATCTAATGAGAATTTGAAAGTACAACCAGGGAAAACAAAATTAACACTCCTATAGTTTATTAATATTTGGAACCCTAAAGAAACTCTCACATAAAGTGAAATTTAGATTTTTAAACACAAATATTGAGACAGTTTAATTGTTCGATGTTAAAATTTGAAGGACTACCACAGTCGTTATTGAAATAGTGTAGGGATTGGTGAATATCCGTCCATGCAATACACCCTAAGTCAGGGATCAGAAACCATTTTACACTCCGGAAGAGAGCAAACGAGTTATCAACCGAGAAGGAGGTTATAGAAAAGATGCCGTACTTTGATACTCGAATTACACGGAAACAAATTTCTCAATTTAATGACTGTAGTGTTTAGTTCTTTTCCTTTTACACTTCTATACATTCTTTTAATTCTTATATCAATTCTTGAAATATTCAATGCAACAATTCGTTTATGGCGTGATAGCTGCTTGTAGAAACCCTACCACCCAGAGGAAATCTGCCTCATACCTGTCAAATCTTTCAGTTAGTTAGCTAAGATATATTTACTGTGTGTTATCAAATATAACCGTTGCACATAAGTTACATGCCCTAATAGATAACTTGTGGATTTCGGATAATCTGAAGGATTATCAATCGTTTTGAATAGATTAAAACTTTTACGAGGTTCAATCATGTGGTCGAATTTGAAGTTTACAGGATAAAATTATACTGTTTTTAATTACAATCTTACAATCAATAACATAAAACATTTAATTGAGTGGTAACTGTATGAATTATTCAACACAACCTCAAGAAAATTCTCGGAATGCACAAGACTTTAGAAATGTTTACATAAATTGTTATTTCGTCGTTCACGAGCTAGAATTCGATATACCTTTAGGACCGATCGATTGGAAAATACTTTCATTTCTTTCTGTCTTCGTGTTAATGAGATCTTAACGAATATTATTTATCATTTAATGTAGTTCCGTAGTTTGTATCACTAACTGATCTTAATTAGATCACCAGGGAAAATCTGTGAGACAGTTATTTACTACAAGTAATGAAAGAGTAATGAGCTAGATCATAAAATGATTGAAATCGTGTACTAATATAGTTGCACGCCGATTCGACGATCTATGAACTTCACGTTCACGCCCATCGATGTACAGGATGATGACCCTCATACTAGGAAGAAACATTCCTTCTGTGCTTCCAGGATTATAGTGTTGATCTTAGGAGTGTGCGTTATTCAAATTATAGAGGTACGTTTAGGTCATCAAGGTCAGTAATATTGTCGATCCTTCACAAGCCACTTATATCAAAGACTGCATAGAATATTTTTCGACTAGTTTTTGTCTATACAATTATTTTCCGTATAAGTTTAAAACCAGCATCTTCATTTCTTTGCAAATTTTGTGACTTTTGTAATTGCTTCTATGGCACTAGTGCATTCAGACGCTGTTCATAAACAGTACGACTGTGAACAGCCTTATGCACATTGAATGATTGGTATTAACCAAAAGAACTGCTTTTATTCACGAAAACTGGTGTACCAGTGTGAATTTGAAGGCTATGATATATTCGCGAGTTGTAGCTTGCAATTCAGTATATGATAATATGTTTTGCACCTCAATTTCATAATATACTGATTTTATTTTCAGTTCTGAGTTGCTGGCGTTAGCTTGTTTATATGTATATGTACGCATAACCATTCTGGTGATAGTGAATCAATTACGTATGGGAATTTTTTAATAGTTCGTCTGTTTTACATAGCTTGTCCATCTAATGTTTTCAGAAATGTGATAATAAACATTTTTAGTCGTAAGGCAAAGTTCTAAATTAACTTTATATGTTTCCAGGCTTCTCGTATACGAGGAGCAACTAAAATTATAATTTTAGTTACACGAATTCCTAACAAGTCTCGAAATATTTTATTTTGTTTTAGTTAGTGTTTTTTTGTGATTTTATCAATACCACCTGATATATGAAAAGTAAATCCCATGCCCGGTTTCCGTTTGATTGTATTCCTGATATTTTCTGCCTCGGTTTATTGCGAAAATTTTGATGAAGAACTTCTCATCAAAGATCTTGGTCATGGGTATACAGCATTCCATTTTAATTTTGCCGCCACAACTTCAGAGTCTGTTTTCCAATGTAAGTTCCATCAATGTTTTGATGAATTTCGAATTAGCAAAGCACTATAACATTCTTCCGAAACCTATCATTCAAATCCTAAGAAAATATAGTGTTGATGAATTTCACCTTTCTATCTCAAAAGGGATATGGGATGAACGTTGGGGTAGTAACTTTGTTTCAGTTTCCCCTTCTGGGGCTGATCTATGGGCATGGTTTGGAAACCAAACTACCAGGTAATCCTTATACTTAGTTCAGCTTTTAGTGTTGATCAATCATGGTTTAAGTTAACGCATGCTCTTTCGGGACTATTCTGTGCTTCTTTAAACCGACTATCTACAAATGAACATTTTGCTTCTCCGGTCCACTCTTACAAGCCGTCTGGAGTACCGAAATTCAGAAGAGCTTCTGGGGTGGTCAGATATTCTCAGCTACCTGGTGAGGCTTTGTGCAGTGAAAATTTGACTCCATGGACTAAATACTTACCATGTAAATCATTTTTCGGTTTGGGAAGCTTGTTGCGTCCAACTTCACTGTTTAAATCAAATTACAACTCCATGACTATTGGAGTTAGACGAGTGTGTTTGGTAAGCCTTACTTGTAGTATATCATTACTAAGGATTTTGAATGTCACAAAATCGGGCTAGAGCTGATGGAAACCCTGACGGTTGTCTTTGACAGAAGTTTGCTGTTTGCAAAAAGAACGTGTAAGTGGAATTTAAAATTACTGCACTGTATATGCTAACTAGTGGTATGCCACCTCCTATGGTTTCATTTCGTATGTAGCTATCCACTATCCATAAAACCTTACGATTTGCAGATTTTTTTAAACGAAATGCCCGAAGTGTTTTGCTCATTTCGAGATTGCTCTCTATTTAACAACGTATCTCAGAGTCAAAGTAATACATGTTTTTACTTACAGCAAGGCTTCTTACTTATGTTTTATTGCCTGTACGTCACTGCCTTATTATAGATTAGAAATTCGTAAATTGCGATATCGAGTTGGGATAAGTCTTTTTATCTCACGACCTTACAACCTTCCGTAACATCTTTTCCTGATAACCATTCACAGAGTTATTGATTTTGCATCTTGAATTTCGCTTGGCTCCTGTTATCGTATTGCTTGCAGTTATTTTATTTATGAGACATAAGGTTCAAGTAATGAGATCAAGCCATTCATACTGCTTTACTTATGGATTACATTTAACTTTTTAGATAATATATAATCTGTTCATTTTATTGGAATTTCATGAACACAAATAAACGTTCCTCTTCGTATTCTGTAACTTTATCATTCGGGAATATTTAAATTATATATTTACTTTTTATACTCTTTTGGTAAGTACAAATGTATGTATCCGTTGGTTCACACCTAAGAGACATGAACAGAAGAATAACATGGACGAAATAGCCTAAGTCACATAGGTTGTTATATAGTATTTCAGTTTAGTGGCTAGTAGCTAAAAATTAGTTCGATAGGAATTATCTCTATTGTTTTCTAATTGTACATTAACATAATGAATAAGAGACTAGCAACTTGTCAATTAGCTCACATTATAAAACTTTGTTTAATATGAACTTCATTTGGCCAAATCTTTTAGTGTTTATCTCATTCATATGTATTATTTTATTTGGATATATATATATTCTCAGCCCCTTGGTCTATCAGAAGTATCCTTGGTTCGGAATTCAAAGGATTTTGCGATGCAGCAAACACTAGTCGCCTGTTCATCCTTACTTCATATGAAGATATGCATATCCCTTTAGATAATAAACTGAAAGTCGATTGTTTGGATAATCGTGTTCTAGCTGCATATTCGACAAAAGATCTACCTGCACAATTTACATCTTTTCCTTTCAAAACCGGTTGGAAAGAGTCCTCTTCAGAGTATTCACCTCTTGTTTCGGCTACCAAACATATCACTGGTTCTGGAAGTGTAAGGGGTGGAGTCAAAGCTTTTCTCACTAGTAGAGCTAATTTCAATTTAGAGATAGTTTATTTTGATTTAATTCCGTGGTACACACAAGTTTTTTTCAGTTCCTTAAAGATCTACAGTTTAGATCCCACAACACAAAACAAAACAGCGATTACACCAAGTAAGTCGATATGAATTGATTTGTTTTTCAGTAATCATGTTATATATTCAATTAATTCTTAGTAATGGGAAGTTGGTAAAAAATTTGATGAGAATAATTATCATCTGTCATTTTAATGCTTTTTGTTTATCTTCAGTCGAGTTACTGTTATTATCAGTGTCATGTCTCATCTGTTTTATAAAGCCTTTGGTTTTCATAATATTGTCAGGAGCGGGTTCGAAATCCTCTCTTACAAAATGCACTTATATAACAACGTAACTACATAATAGTTTCTGAGGAAGCTCTGTTCACTGTCTTCGTGTAATTAATTATTTTTCACGAACTTAGGTGACGGACGTTCTTTAGTGCTATAATTGTTGAACTATAAATAACAGCTATTTCCAAGTGGAAGTTTGTCATTCCTTATTTCAGACTAAATACAGGGTGCATACCGTAAATGGTTAGTTTCTATCACGGTAGTGCAACTTTTGGTAATACTTCGTTGTTTTCTTCCCCCAAATGCCCCGGTACGACCGAAGGTGAGAAAATTCCGCTCTCCTTCTCGAAATATCCTTACAAGGCCTCGCGTATACAGCCACTCAGAGAATTCCTACTCAGTGCCCTCTCGTGGTGAGAGTATTATTTGCGAAATTGAGAGGATAAAATGCGAATGTGCAGTGTTTTAACCGGGTTGGTGGGTATGGAACATTCACCTTGAGAACTGGTAACTACCGGAAGCTCTTTCAACTCATCCAAGTCATTAGCAGAAAGGAGTCTGGTGTGAGTGAAAGCATCTGTGAAACTGATGGGATGCCAACCAATACCATCTACGAAGTCTTGGATGATTGGCAGAGTTTTCCGAGGAGCAGTTCAACTGGTCTGTTGCCCTGACGACATCAATCAGGCTGTCTTGCCCTCCATGGCCGGTGACGACTGATCCACTTGACGAGGTGGAAATTCTCAAGAAACTTTAATTCCTGAAGCTCCACAAATCATCAGGCTCAGATGACTTACCTCCGACCCTTTTTGATGATGCCTGCGACTTTCCGGTTAATGAACTGACTGGGTTGCTTATATGTGTCTGGCAATTAGAGAGTGTTTCAACATTGTGGAATGAGTTGGCAGTTTTCCATATCTTAAAAGAAGGTCCACATCGTTTATGCAGTAACTATCTACTTCCGATCGCATCCAAACTATTGGCTTCCATCATACTTCGTAGATTGTTCAAAACCCGAAAAAAATTGACTCGTGAGAAACAGGCTGGTTTTTGTTCTGATCGAGGATGTATTGATCATATCTTCTTATCATGAAGACTGTCCTCGACTCGCTGGACAGGACTGTTCTCTGGGATTAACTATTGGAATAGAGTGTGCTTAAGAAGTTTATCAACAACTTGAAAGCTCTATGTACAAACACCTCAGGCGGAATAAGGGCACGCAACCACTTGTCTCCATTGTTTTCATTCACCCAGTGGGGTTAGGCAGAGTTACCCGATCTTACCATTCCTCCTCAACTTTGCCATCGATGACGATCTGGAAAAAGCTCTGGTGAATGTAAGTAATAGTGTTGTAGATCTGTTGCCTGAAGAAAGACTATTTGACCTTGAGTATGCGGATGATATTGTCTTACTATATGATGATACTCAAGCCATGTAATCCGCACCGAGTCAGTTGACAGTCACTGTCCGTAGGTACGGCATGTCTTCTACACCTTCCAAGCGCAAAGTATTTCTACAAGACTGATAGTTTTGAACTCACACTCTGGACAGTGAATTGGTAGATGTAGTCGAGAAGCTTGTGTATCTGGGTGAATGTGTAAGTGCTGGTGGTGGCGTATGGTGAAATCAATCCATACATAATGAAAGGCAGAGTGGCTTATGCCAATCTGGTCTATATTTTGCACTTCCGTGATATTAGTCTGGCTGTAAAAGGTCGGATCTACAATGCATCAGTGAGAGCAGTTTTTATCTATGCCTGTGAAACTTGACCTCCGAGTTGAAGATGTTAGACGACCCTGTGTTTGATGATCGTTTTCTTCGAAGGATGGCTGACGTCCAATGGCAACACCCTGTTAATTATGCAGAGGTCCGGCATCGTGTTCGGGCACAGCGACGATAATTCAATTAGTGACACTATCTCGACTTCAGTGTCGTGGACATATTTTACGAATGTCTTTCCAGAGAATTCCACGTCATGAACTATTTACCGACGCTGGAACTGGTTGGAAAAGGCGTAGAGGCAGTCAGTCTGTGTCATGGTATGAAAGAAAGCTATACAGGACAGGCTTCTGTCGGACCTACACAACTCCCTGGTCGGTGTCTTAGAGATGATGTAGCACAGTGGCTTGAGACGTTATCAGACATGAATCAACATAAGCCAGTGGGAATCATGCCGAGACTTTATTTTACTTCATAAAAGTGAGAGTAACTTCTTTGGCTGAAATTCTTTCTGGTTGTATTCTTCCCAACTTAACTGCTTCTCCCACTATTAATATTTTTATCTCACTCTCGTACACTAATTTCTCTACACTGTTGCTCTTCTTTCTATTATACCCACTTTATCTCTTCACAACCTAATTGTTGTTGTGTGGCACATATGTATTTCGTGCCCCTTTATACCTGGGTTTGTGTGTCTAAATGTCTAAAAACGGTAGCATAATTTCACAATCTGAATTACTTGTGCAATTGTTTTTCATTTCATGCATTTTATGAACGTTTTATCTATGTCTAACACTTAAATTATTTCTTATTCTTTCATTGTACTAGATCGAATGAGATTTTCGTAGTCGTGTGCAGTTTTATACTCTGTTAATATTCATATTTATTCACCAGCCTTTCTCAAATCATTTTAGTGTTTGAATGAAATACGTTTATTTACTTTGATAGACTGGTTGGCAGTTAAACCAAGTTTGGCTAGGAAACGTATGGGCAGTATTGAATTAGTAATCACCTTGCCTGCTCTTAATCAGCTAATCATTACTTATGAGTTTCGGAAAGTTTTACAACGCTGGAATGAGTTTCCTCCCGACGCCAATCACGGCTTTTTCCTTCCTGCAGCAACTGTTTCGTATGTTTTAAATAGTGAACAAATAGATTATTTAAACAAAACAAAACATACAGCATCCCACAATCTAAATCTTCCGGATTGGGCCAGTAGTTACAATCAGTTTTTGTAAGTTCCTTGCCTATTCATAGATCCCCTAGCTTGTGCTTTTAATACCCCATGATAATTCATCCTGTCTTTATGTTCAGTGTGCTCAAGTAGATAAGATCTATTTTCCACCAATTTTATGGCTAAAAAAGCGAAAACTAGGTAGTGGCACTAATTAACTGTTTTGTGGAATACGTCCAACATTACCCTCAGTAATTATCGAGCTTGGATATCTGTTACGATAAATGCTAAATGGAAGTGTTCACTTCTGTGAAATTAGAATTCTCCATACTCACGTACTAAAGTATCTACGAAATTCGATCAGTCCGTAGATGAATACGTTTGCATTCCATTTCCAGTGATCAGTTTTATGCTAATCGCAAACTTCTGATATAATCCATGGAAATAATCAGGTTACTGATGAATTTCTATGACTTATGGACAATAGAACTCCCAACTTTACTCCTTGTATGAAGTCTAATAAAATACCTAATGTTGATTAAAAGTCCCGCGTTTCACAACCATGGAAGTAGATGATTATGGGATCTTTACTGAATACTACCATTTTAAGTAAAAACTGTTCTCGTCCGAAAATAGAATTTTATGAATGCCACTTACTTCAATCAGCTGTAGATTAAAGATAATCGTATAGCTTTTGTGGAAGTTGTATTTCACCATCTAGTTTTAGCCGTAAGTTTATTTAGGAACACTACGCTTCATCTTATTTTTGTTATGATAGACCTATGGTATAGCCAATCTGTTCATGAAAAATAATTAACTATTATTATCTGTCATCCGATTAAACCACTGGTGCTTGACCAACCAAACTGAGCAGTATAAGACGAAGATGACGTAAAAGACCGCATCCCCGGAAGCCGAATAATAATTCTTACAAATTGTATCTACAGGCGGCGTAGTGAGATACATGTGAGAAGTCACCTTGATCTGGTAAATGATCCACTTACAACCTATCTATGTCATGCGACCCTTAGTATTTGCGTGATCTGTCTTGCCTTGTCCGGATACTTCAAAAGTTATTCTGTAAGCGATGCACCAAGTTGGTTAAATGTCATCTCGGGAATGGATATCACTTGGCTAACCCAAAATATTCACTTAGTTTCACAGTTTTCATGTAGGGAACTCAGCAATAGTACAAGCTAATAACAAAACACTAGGCTGTTTGAAATAATCATATGGATCAAGATGATGATGTTTTGTCAAGTTGTATAACAGGAAAAGGGAGGAAAAAGTGAGTGATAGGACCTTGTAATGCAGAGGACAAACTAACCCAACCCAGACACCAACTCAACAGTAATATACAAATACGTCATTGACTTATTACATGTTAAAACTATCTTTTAAAATATATCACTGTTTGTCTGCTTCTTTCTACTAGCAATACAGCTCATTTCGCACCTCAGGATGGTTTTGTTCGTCTACACACTCCTGTGTCTCTTGTCACAATGCCAACACCAGATTTCAGTATGCCATTTAATGTTTTATGTTTGGTTTGTTCAGTCGTTGCTGTTGTGTTTGGGTCCGTTCACAAGGCTACGACGACTGTTTTCAACGTCACTCTTCAAAAGAATGCCAGCGACTCATTACTAACACATCTAATAGACCGCATCTTAACTAAGAAGAATACTTCAAGGACAATGAATGAACAGAATATATCAACGAGTGCTCCAAGCAATCACGATAAAAATGACTGATTTGGTTGGAAATAATCATATGCTTAAGCATTAAAACCGTAATACACATATTTTGTATTTAACATCGTTTTTGTAATAAAGTCATAGAAACTGAAATACCCACTTTTTGTAATCTTCTTTACAAAGAGCAATCTACACAACAATGAAACCGTTATACTCAAATATGTAACCCATCAATGTATTTAAGAACAGAATTGATTCACCGAACTAAAAGCTGTATTTTAATATTTACTTGTATATAGGTCGATACTAAAAGACAGATATTTCAATTTCAAGGGATCAAAGTACAAATATATACACCAGGTACGATTATATTAACGTGATTTATTTTAGTGGACTCTTTCTTGGGTTATGGTCACTATACCTGGAAGTGTGCAGAAGCCTTGTCTGGTTTTCTGGCAAAGTATCCTGAGGAAGTCAGAGGGCTTCGAGTTCTAGAAGTTAGGTTTTGTTCAATAATACTGATATATTATAGCTCGGTGCTGGCACAGGACTTTGTGGAATTACTGCAGCTATTCTTGGGGCTCTTCATGTTCGATTCACTGACAAAGACTTGACATATTCGGATACACTACATCTAAATGCTCAGCTGAATGGAATCAAAAATTATGATTTTACCCCATTAGATTGGAATTATCCCCTCGACTGGTCAGGTGGGATCTTCGATACCATTTTGGCATCTGATTGTTTGTATGATAAGGAAGGTGAGTCCATCATAATAGTCTCATTTTTAGTATATGAACCGTTTTTGAAGACTGCAACTTTACAACTAAGGGTAAACAACAATGCATCTTTACTTCTTTCTTTTGAAAATCGGAGGTAACCTCATTTAAAAAAGCTTATGTATAGCAGTTCTTTTACAGACATCTCAGTTTTGTTTAAGAAATATGGTCTCAAGGCCGATGTTCTAACTACACCTAGTAATTCGTTCAGAAATATCCATTTATTGCGTGTTACGTCTAGTCAACAATAAAGTATAATTTCGTTGTGTTTTCTTGTGTATGAACTTGGTAAATATGTTTTAAATGAGTTTTTTCATCTCTGAAGTGTACTCATTATCCCCGACATAACTTAACCTGCTTATAAATCAATAGGATTTTGTAGATTACACTAGTGCTAAAGTTTTGAAATCAATTAATTTGATGTGGACATTACACGTATCTACATAAATTGTTGCGCTTGTATCACGAGGCAAGCGCTAACTTAGAATCCTGAAGAGAAAGGGGAAAGAGGAAAACTAAGGAACATATTGCGTCGGGAATCGGAAGCAGACATCAAAACATGAATAGCAACTGGAAAGGGCTGTCCAGGACAAAGTTCGGTCGAGAATGTTGGCGGGCGGCCTATGGTCCTCCACAAGGGGTAACAGGCGTAAGTACTTTTGATATGCGTAACACATAGACAAAAAAGCTTTGTTAGAAAAAATATATAACCGACCGAGTTTAACGTTCCATAATCAAATGATGCATACGCTAATAAAGTTGTTTCATTCCAGTTACTGTATACTAAGAAAGTGCGTCTTCAGTTTCCATTGTGTGAACACATTTTGATAGATTTCCATAGTATAATCAAGTTTTCAGAATGGCTGTTAATGGTCAGTAGCTACAAACCAATAAAAGTTGTAGTCAAGCAAGATTGTTTGGATATCCTGTGATTCGAATTTCATGATTTTATTTGCAGGAGTAAGATATCAAGAAGAATCTTTCACTTTATTCGGATATCAAAAAGGACTCGTGGCTTGATAGTCTCTAACTTCATCTTCTAGTAGAGAACTAAATGACAGCTTAATCCCGATACACAATAGGAATTATGGTTATTTACTGTTGACGGTGTTCTAAGGCTTAATGCTACTCCGGATAGTGATTGAGCATCAGTGGAGTTACTCATAAAACATGCACTGAGAAAATTTGAAAACAAACGAAAACTGGATATGCACGGCCATACTTAACTGAAAAGCCTTAATTGGTCTACCCAGCTAAGAACTTTTGATTTTTCCCTTAACGACAACCCCATGTTGTAGTGCTCATCCTTTACCATGAGTTATCAACCAAATGATTTGAAATGTACTTGACGAACGCCAAAATATGATGTAACCTCGTGTTTACTATTGCACACACAAAACTAAAACTTGGTGAATGAGTTAGCTTAGTGTAAAAATTCACCAGCAGCGATCAGGATATGTCAGAAAAGATTTGTTAAATATGAACAACTGTAATGTGACAAAGGTTGGAGTAGATACAAAAGTTGGTACTCAATTACCGACCCATAGTTCCCATCAAAAAACAATGAAAATAAGTATGTATGTCTTTTTCACTGAACTACTTGATTAAGGACATGCGTATTTGTTCTTTTGCATTTTGGATAGCCTGTATGTTGTGAAAAAGAAGAATTTTATGTATTTTGATTTTAAAAACAGTTGACTAAAAGTTATTTATTGAAATGAACACAGCAAGGTTTTTGTTCAATTTTGTACTGATGTGACATGGGGACTTTGGTCCACACAAATTTGTGCTAGGCTTTACGTTAAAGATGAGTGATTATGATCTAGTTAGAGAATAGACTTGAACTGGTTACAAGCAAACTTTGTAACAGTTTTTCGGCAGACATGTGTCTCAAACAATTATTTTTAAACTCAAGGATTGGTACATTTACTCAACACACTGCTTATGAGAGAAGCAACGTTTGTTGTGAATCTACAGCAGTAACAGTTGACAGATGAGTAGAAAACCGAATTGGAAACCTTCCGTCAATATGTCGGTGACCCTTCACTGCAATAAAACTTTAGGGTTTTTTAGCAGATGAACAACCATTAGCGTTTAACAGCATATTATATCGTTGGTTTTTGTATATTAAGGCTTATTTTTCTACTTCATCTCATCAAATGAGACCAAGTCATGTAGAAATAGTGACTAAAAGGATCACACTTAGAGGTACATCCACAATGAAATTATGTTAAACATAGCAAAAAGAAGCCAAAATTACCTGTGCTACCGTTTGCTCTCCAAGTGGGATATCATCTGTCCTTGCACCAACTCGAGACACTAAGGCGGTTGCGTCGGACTCTAACAGTATGCTTTAAAGAATATATTAATTTATTCCACTATTTACCCATTATGACACAGTTCATCAACTATAAGGAAAATTAAATCTAGATTATCCATCAGTGTTTTCTTTTCGACTGAACGTTTTAGAGCTTGACTGACAGAATCGTACAAGCACTGAAGGGCACTGACGAGTAATAACTTACAAAATGAAAGATCCATTACGTAACTCACTTCATTTTCGTTAGCATCCCCAACAACATAAAAGTAAAGATCGCCCACGTTTCGATAAACACATGTCGCGCCGTCCAGTAACGTGATTTCCGCTAGAGAATTGAAAGAGCAACAAACACTTATACTGATTTGACGAAAATAAGGTGGACAAACAATTATGATTGGAGTAAGGCCTTAGGACAATGAGAATCTTTGGTAATGATAACTTTTCCATATTGATTAACAAATAATAAGTCAATTTCAAAACGATTACTTTGATGTCTTTGTACTGCCATAAGAATTTTATCAACAGAGGTTATTATAAAAAAATGATTTTTGATCGATTGTGCAAACGCATCTCTTAAGCATAAAAGTCTGAACCTGAAATTAAAAGTAATCAATGGGGTTTATTAGCCAAATGTGTTACCATATATATATATATATATATATATATATATATATATATATATATATATATATATATATATATATATATATATAGAGAGAGAGAGAGAGAGAGAGAACATATGTTAAGTATGCCTAATCACAACTCATCTTGACGGGCGATGTTTCCTGGTTTAGGAGTTCTGTGAAATCTGTGACCTTTGGTTTGTGTCATATTGGCATATACGGGCTACCTAGTTTGGGTCCATGTGCTTATTGTAACCAACAGATACGCAGATGTATTCACTCTTTATCTTTTCATCTCTCACTTCGGAGTCTCAATGCATACTTCTTCAATCTGTATCCTGTATGTTTACTTTTTTAACTGTAGTTACTACTACATTATTCCCGTCCATTTTGCTACATACCTAGTTAAATTAATTATGGTGTGCTGGTGATGTGTAGTAACTTAGGGCAGTGCACAACTGTTTTAGACTCTACGCTGATGATAAATGATGTATACATGTACACAGTAATCCGGAAAACAAAGTGCAATTTTGTTTGATCATTAGTATGCTGAGTTTCAGTTAGAGAGCTGACCATATCGTTTTAAGTACATAAAAATGAGTGTATAAACGAGAAAGTGAATATTTAATTGCAGGTATTTTATGTGGACAACTTTTGGGATAGAATACTTTATTTTAAAACGATAAAAAAAATTTTCTTTAACATTTCACGACGGCAGAAAAAAGTAGAACTATAAAAACATGATGCAACAAACTTGGAAACATTCCATGTTCAGAAACTAACAATCAGGTAACTGGAAAATAATGGTCGAACTAGTACTTCATAGTACCGGAATTTTTAAATAAAAGTGCTTAATGCTACTTTATAACACTAGATTCTTTCGGTGTACATAAAAATGTAGTCAGTAACAATAATCATTAGATAAGTATGAGTCGAGTACATCCGAGTCATTGAGTTGTATCTGATTATTAGGAATCCTGAAGGTCACTGGTTACAGCTTAAATTCATGTCAATATAAGAACACTAGAATTCTGAGAAGTATAGAGGATATCTTGGACTAACCACCTCAAAAGACTTGTTCGAAAACCAAAACCAACTGCTTTATATCCAGATTCTCATCATCTACAATTTTAGACTGCTGACATGCCTACTAAAACACGATAAATCGGTTACTATGTTGGAACTTCCAAGATGAGATTAGATCTCTGCAGTACTACAAATTACGAGAATTGCTTTAGGTTCCTGAGACTTTTATGCTTGTAATTGATGATGGCGAACTACGTAGACGGTAGATGCTATTCCCAATAGGTTCTGACTACTAGCACGGTTAACTAACATTACTTCTGTTTACTTCTATCTTGAAGGGTGTAAAACGGAATGGACCACTAACAATAAAAAATGATAAAAGAGTAGATGCTTGTTATTCGCAGTTGAACCTGTCACAGATCCACTAAAATGAAACTTATTTTGAAATATTAGTCAAAGTATGTTCTATTAATCGATTCTAAGCGTACCAATTATGTTTCAAAAGATAGTCTACAGGATATTAGAAACTAGATTCATTGCAATGAAGTCACATATGACTGAATTATTAAGATAATTAACACAAAAACAGAAAAAATCAACGAAAACTTACCACCATTAGTTTTGCTTGTTTTTTTGAAGAGTTTCGACTCGAATTCGAGTTGGAGCTTAACAGTTGGAAACGACGAGTCATAATACTACAAAATTAAAGTTTGTTTGATATATTATCTGCGCTACTTTCGTTAAAATGCGCCTCCCTTCACTATCTAAGATGAGTATGCTATTAATAGAATATAAGGACGGCTCCTGTGAAAATGTCGAAAATCAACATACGTACCAGGAGCATTGTAAGCGATAAAAGCACTGGTTGGCAGGATGTCAAATATTCCGCTTCCGAATTGTGACCTTAGCAGGCAATTCATTACACAAAAATTCGGTCTTTGAATTTGTCTTTTAGTGAGAATCTGTCTAATCTCCTCCATAGTATTCTTGTTTCTGTAAAATTTCATAGGTGGTTCAGCAGTTTATGGATACTGCAATTCACGTAGTAGTCTCTGAGAGCCAATCTCTTTTTAGGAAATTTGTATGTCATGATCATGTGTATTATTAGAATATAAAATAACTGGTTATGTCCTCGAAGTTCTACCGACCCAATTGCAGAGAAAATAAAGGATATCTGTGGTTCAAAATCCTTTCTTAGTCAGTTAAATCTCTCAATATACGATAATGCTAAATAAATAAATTTGACTTCTGGATATTTTCTTAGTATATCTAGGTAACTAGATCCTAAATTGCTCACGTTCACGTCTCTTTTGCTCTTTGAATAGTCTCTGAGCTGTCCTTTAAAATAGGGTTTTAATACCTATTCACAATTGTCTGATTTGAACCTCAAGATTTGCCATGTGAATCATGTTCATCATAACACCATTAAAACGCTGACAACAGCATGGTGAATAACAAAAGATTTTTACGATTCAATTTCATGAAGATACTAAACAACAATATACTCGATACAGAGCCCTGACGATACACGTATGCAGTGCTTTCATGAGTATTCTTCGGATCGATCGAGAAATAATTAGTGTTCATTCTAACGATTTAATCTTGTAATTTTTCGCATTTAAACTTTTGAAGTGTTACGATAATGACCATTTATGCTTGTTGAAAAAGAACGGTTTTAGTACCTTCAGACACTCTTGTACTCGTATTTACTTCGGTACTGATGATTGCAGTAGTTCGCCAAGTTTCTGCTTCGTACAACATGTCTAACTGTCTTGACATTCGTATTGAAGATTCTGACTTTGATGTTGGTTGACAGTTGTTCTGAGTTCCATATGTTCTTCAACTATAGGAATGCTGTCCTCGTTTTGTCAGACCCTCCTTATTCGTCGATGATGCTGTCCACGTATGTGAAAGTTTCCACCTCTTTCAGAGCTTCTCCATCAAGTGTGATTGGGTTGATGTTTTCCGTGTTGCATTTGAGGATCTTGATTTATTCCTTGTGTATGTTGAAGACTACTGATGCAAAGGCTTCTACTACACTGGTTGTCTTCATCTGCATTTGTTGGTGTGGATCGGATAGATGAGCTAGGTTACTTGCGAAGTCCAAATCGTCTAGTTGTATTCGAACTGTCCATTGCATTGCGTGCTGCCCCTCAGATGCCTGTGTAATTCTCACATTTACCTAAATCTTCTTCTGAGATGGTAGAGAAGATTTGTGGCTCAGGTGGATGGTTTTGATGGAGTTTTGTTCTCTGAGCTGAATGGTTTGGTCGTGGAGCTTTCATCGTTCTCTTGAACAAAATCATCAGCACAAACTTCAGATAGAAATGAAGTGCTTGAATTTCTCCATATGCGTTTCACAGCTTGTTCTGTACACCTCGATGTTGAGTGGTTGTTGTTGACCTTAAATTTGTCATTGTTTGCTTCTTTGTTTTGGTTGTGTCTACCACTGATTTCATTTTTGTTCCTATGTTTGAGCATAATTTCTCTGATTGGTTGATAAATTGGATCGATTTCAATGTGTTTGTTGCTTGCCGATTGACCTGAGGGCCAGGCTTCCGAAAATTCTCTGGTGTTTTTGGAATTTCCTCTGTCCAAGATTTCCACATTTTTCCAATCCAATGGGTGTCCGCAGTTGTTCACGTGTATTGATATAAGTGAGGAGATATCATAACGTTTGACTGCTAAATGATGTTCATGTAGGCGGTGAAGGGGGCGTCCGGTTTGTCCAATGTAGTATTTGTCGCAGTTGGCAAAATTTATTTTGTAAATGATGTTTGATTTATCTTCTTTTATTATTTCATCCTTTGGTTTGCATAGGATTGATTGTAGCGATTTTCTCGGTTTGTGTACTACACCTATCGCGAAGGTTTTTAGCAGTCTTGTTGCGGTTTCTGATATGCCATTTATGTATGGTAAGGTGATTTTTTGTTGATTTCTGTGCTTGACTTGAGCTTTGATGCTGTATGTGGTTGGTATTTTTTGATCGCAGAAGCAGTAATGCAAAGACTAGAAGCCGCGATATTACCAGTGATCAAGCCGAAAATTTGGATTCGCTATGTAGACGACACATTCGTCGTCGTCAAAAAGAATGGGCTAGAAAACACTTACAAGCGGATCAACAACGTCTTCGATGACATCAAGTTCACAATGAAACAGGAGTCAAACAATAAACTATCATTCTTGGATGTATTAACCCATCATATAGAACCAGAAAATGACCAAATCCAGTTATCAAAATAAATAGGGAGATGTAAACCCTAGCAAATAATAATAATGACTCTCCATGTTATATATATATATATATATATATATATATATATATTCCTTCCCTCATCTCTTCTCAGTAGTTGTAAGTTCTTGTATGCGCTTGTTTTTTTACTTCAGAATAATGACCGGAACAAAAGTAAGTGTTGATGTTTATAAAAGTATTTGTGTTTATGTGTATGTGTATGTATGTGCACAATTTTGACTCAAATTTTAGCTCGTCCAGTCGTATCAAAGTTGTTCATTCTATTGCGTGCTACTCCTCAGATGTGGAGGTCTTCATAGTCCAGACAAACACGAGAAGAAATAGAAAGGGTGACAGTGGGCAGCCTTGTCTGACACCAGTCCTCACTTGGAATACATCCGGCAGCTGTCCTTCATGCACGACTTTTCAGTGTAGTCAGTCGTATGAATTCCATATGACATTGACGATCTTCTCAGGTACACTGTAGTGTTGAAGGAGGTTCCATAATGTCCTCCTATCTGCATTGTCAAACGTTTTCCCACAGACAAGGAAGTTAATATACAATGACGAATTCCATTCAATTGATTGTTCAACGATTATCTGCAGTGTCGCTAACTGGTGTTTACACGACCGATCCTTACGGAATCCAGCCTGCTGATCTCGACGTTTGGCGTCTACTAAATCTTTCATCCGGTTCAGCAACACACTGTTGAAAACGTTTATCGGTGCTGATAGTAGAGTTATGCCTGTGTGGCTCTCACATTTTTTTGATCGCCTTTTTCTGGAAACTTAATGACATACCCTTCACTCCAGTCCGCCGGCTAAAGAAAAGCTGCTGGAAATAACGTTCTCTTTGACTGAATTTTCAGGCATTGATCCCCTATCCAGGAGGTCCACTTATCGACTTGGAAACGCAGACGACATAGTCCTGTTTGGTGAAGGCGCTGATAAAATACAGAGTCTTTTGTTGCACTAAGCAACAATGCCAGAATGTTTGGGATGCGCTTCTCTCCCTCTAAATGCAAGTTGTTGCCTCAGGACTGGTCTTCGTCAACACCTGAACTAACGATAGGGAGTGAAGTAGTCGAACGCGTTGACAACTTCACTTATCTTGGAAGTCTGATCAGCCCTAATGGGTTGGTGTCTGACGAGATCTCAGCACGGATTCGAAAAGCTCGTTTGGCCTTTGCCAACTTACGTCATCTATGGTGAAGGCGAGATATCTGTCTGTCAGTTAAGGGACGAGTATACTGCGCAGTAGTTCGTTCCGTTCTAATATACGACTGTAAAACATGGCCATTAAGAGTAGAAGATACTCGTAAGCTACTAGTATTTGACCACAGATGCCTTAGAAATATTGCTGGTATCTGCTGAGATCACCGGGTAAGTAATAGTGAGGTTAGAGGCAGGGTATTAGGGAATGATGGTAAGTCAGTTGATGAGGTTGTGAATCTTCATCGACTGAGATGGTTGGGCCACGTGTTGCGTATGCCTGAACACCGACTACCACGGCGCGCAATGCTAACCGGTGTTAGGGATGATTGGAAGAAAGTTAGGGGCGGCCAAACCAAAACGTGGCATCAGTGCTTGAAGTCACTAACTTCTGGTCTGAGCCATGTTGGGAGATTCAGACTGCCTGGTTGGGGTCCGCGTGACTATAGTAACCAATGGTTGGAGACTCTTGGTGACATGGCTCAGAATCGATCACAATGGCGTCGGTGTATACACTCTCTGTCTTCCTTTAATCTAAGAGATTAAAATCACTTCACATCTTTCTTTCTAGGAACTAATTCTTTCTTCCTGTACTATCTCCTTATACACAATCTTTCTTCTATATATTACCACCACTGAATTAACTACTTCTATGAATCTGGTGTTCATCTTGTTGTGCTAATGCGGTATGGCAAATTGGACCGATACATATACGTGCCTGGTCCTACGTCGCAGCTGACTGACTGACTGAAGTTAGAAAATCTTTGAAAACCCGGAAGGACTGGACAGTCGTTTCTCTCTAGTACGGCATTTCTCAGCGGTTTACCTCCACGGCTCCTGACTGGGAATCGAACCCGAAATCTTGGTTTCTATATTTTTACTAACTCAATATATTCTTGTTAGATTTCCCTCCTTTCCATGTATTTTAACTAAAAATGGCAGAACCTAAAATGACAAAGCGGTTACAAGCACGCCAGGATTTCTATCCATGATTCCATTCAATTATGCTAACGAAATGTCAGAATAAAGCTTGCGATAGCTAATAATGAGTGTGTAACTAGGATATTTTAATGAATAAAATTCAATAATAGACTTATAGTTGTCTCGCAATAATAAATCAAAATAAGTTCTGCAATTAGAATTACACAAAAATACTGTCAGAAGATCATCTGTTCGTTACTCCTCAAAAACTATACACACTAATTCTCCAAAAGAATGAATATCCATATTTTATTCATATTTCCGATAGTGACTAGGATTTGGGTGTGCAGTATGTGTTTTATCGCGTTTTCAAACTCTTCAAAAGTATGCATCCAGCTAATCAGTATTTTTGCGTTCTGGATTGCTATGTTATTTGCTAAAGCAACCCATCATATAGAACCAGGAAATGACCAAATCCAGTTATCAAAATAAATAGGGAGATGTAAACCCTAGCAAATAATAATAATGACTCTCCATGTTATATATATATATATATATATATATATATATATATATTCCTTCCCTCATCTCTTCTCAGTAGTTGTAAGTTCTTGTATGCGCTTGTTTTTTTACTTCAGAATAATGACCGGAACAAAAGTAAGTGTTGATGTTTATAAAAGTATTTGTGTTTATGTGTATGTGTATGTATGTGCACAATTTTGACTCAAATTTTAGCTCGTCCAGTCGTATCAAAGTTGTTCATTCTATTGCGTGCTACTCCTCAGATGTGGAGGTCTTCATAGTCCAGACAAACACGAGAAGAAATAGAAAGGGTGACAGTGGGCAGCCTTGTCTGACACCAGTCCTCACTTGGAATACATCCGGCAGCTGTCCTTCATGCACGACTTTTCAGTGTAGTCAGTCGTATGAATTCCATATGACATTGACGATCTTCTCAGGTACACTGTAGTGTTGAAGGAGGTTCCATAATGTTCTCCTATCTGCATTGTCAAACGTTTTCCCACAGACAAGGAAGTTAATATACAATGACGAATTCCATTCAATTGATTGTTCAACGATTATCTGCAGTGTCGCTAACTGGTGTTTACACGACCGATCCTTACGGAATCCAGCCTGCTGATCTCGACGTTTGGCGTCTACTAAATCTTTCATCCGGTTCAGCAACACACTGTTGAAAACGTTTATCGGTGCTGATAGTAGAGTTATGCCTGTGTGGCTCTCACATTTTTTTGATCGCCTTTTTCTGGAAACTTAATGACATACCCTTCACTCCAGTCCGCCGGCTAAAGAAAAGCCAGTCCTCAAAATGATAACTGAGAAATTAAAGATTGATTGTGGTGATAGGTCATTTGTCTTTCACAGAGTCGAATAGAGCGAAGGCTCAGGACCCAAAACTCGTTTTGCGCAAGAAGTGCATTTAATAAAACCGTTAATAAATCAGTTAGCGTCACAGCTAGAGATACATCGGTGAAAGTATGTGAACCAGGTAGTCAAATAGACTTGAAACAGAATCAAAAACAGGCTGCTAAAATATATGGTTTAAATCTCCGAGTGAACGGGGCCCAATACAACAGAATCGACATAAACTAGAAGGGTTATGAGATTTCGTCCGTAAAGACGAACTGTGGTTAGATGCTGGTGAGGGGGGCCTTGGAATCTTGGGTTTTCAGGTGTTGAGTCTTCGTCAGTGAATTATGCTGAAGCTCCTTCAACTACAGTATGGAGCCATTTAAGTGGTTTCCGGATCTGTTATAAAGGTGATTGGAGCTTTCTCAACAGGCGATGGTAGATTGATGTACAGATAAAATCTGCCGAGCCGATGTGACTGTGGTCACAGAAACAAGGCCGACGAAGTCTGCAGACAGTAGGGAACTGGATTTTGAAAGTCTCCTATTAGTAAGAACTGGCAGCATCCAGAGAAGTAGGAATATCTCAGTTCATTAGAAATACTATCCCACTTACCGCTATTGATAACATATCCCAAGAAAGTGGGACATTCGAATTAGTTAGCTGCTGCTCGAAATGCAAAGTACAAGAGCCGTGATCGATTTGGTCTACCGCAGTTCAAACTGTGAGACGAATGAGGTCTTGCTAGACGGTTTCAACACCTGGTCAACAAGTGGTAGATGTTTAATCTTGGGAAATCTTAATGCACCTACGGTAGACTGGAGAAATCTGAGAACTGAACTATCAGAAAGTTTTTTCCAACCGAAACTATTTGGTACGGTTATCACAGGTGTCCTAGTGCATCATGTGGAAAAAGCAACTAAATATGACATGGAATCCGAATTATCTTTACTAATTCTCATATTGATCCATTAAAGGATTGTTGTCAAAAATCTCAATTACTTACCACTATTAGGTGAAAGTGACCGTACAGTTTAAAATTTGATTCACATATAGTTGTCCACTACGTCTTTAAGGCAAATATACGAGAAATTATAGACTCTGCATCCTCGGTAGATTGAGAAATAGGACCACATCCCCCTATTGACACTGCGCTAGGTTTGAAGCCATCACGAGTTCACTTAATCTGCGAACGAGAAACAAGACTCGGTGGCCAAAGACGAGTAAGTTAGCTATTGATGCGTCCCAGCCCCGCTATCTATAGGGAGAAGTCCAGGCTTAGAATGAGAAGTATATTCTGCAACAGCCAGAAAACGAGCGATCACAACAAACAATTTAAAAACATATATATACAAATATATATAATCGATACTGCCATGGAGATTTTAAACATTTAATTGATAAGTTCTTCAATCGACTATGTGCGTGGGTGGTAAGAAATGCCCACGCATACATCTGCATACAACCTAAACAAGATGAAATTACAAACTATGAGTTTCGGGGATCTATCGTCCCCAAAATTCCTCCCCTTTTTATTAACGTACTTTCCTGGGGTTAACTTGCATCTTGACTGCTGCTCGCTGCTGTCGGAGAGGCCACCTTCTGTAACAGAGATCAGCTTGTTGTTGAGCTTCTTCTCGTGTTGGGGCTGCTGGTAAGTTGAAAGTATCAAGCAGGATTTCAAGGGGAAGATTTACTCCTCTTGATGGGCGGTCCGGGGCTATCCGCCCCCGTAGTTGGTATCGGTGTCTGGTCCTTGTGTCCTTGTGCATTATGATGCGTATTGATCACCAAGGTTCAGATACATGCACGGTGAATAACGTTGAGCCACCTGTTATCCAGACACACAATAACCTAGCAGTTATCATTAGCTAGCTCCTGCCTACAAAGAGACAGTGAGTTGTTGAAAAAGGTTCAAAGAACCCCGACGAAGCTGATTTCTGGAATGGCAATGCACTCGTATGATTCTCGATTGACCAAAATAAACCTATTCCCATTGTTATATAGAAGAACCAGGGACGACTTGGTCACAAATTTGTAAATACTTGATGATAAATTTGCATCTGATATGCTTTCACTTTTCTTGTCTTCCAAAACACAGGGTTTATGTAGACGATCTGAAAACGTTCCCAGGCCCAGAATAAACAATTTGTCAGGTGATTGTTGACTTTTCCATTGAATTATCAACGAATAGAATCCATTACTAATCTCCCTATTTTGGGAGAATATTATGTCCGTTTTGGGTAAAGTTAAGGGAAATTTCAAAAAAAACTCTGCAGAAATGACTCAAGAACCCAATATTTCCCCAAGTCTGGGAAAATTCTTAAATCATTAGGGACATTCAGGGTTTTCCCCAATATTTCCCGAGAATCTCATAACACTTTGCCATCATCCCTGAAAATTCCCTCAAACTTTGGGAAAAGCTATCAAACTTTTCTCAACTCTGGGGGAAACTCCAAAACTTACCCAAAATTCTCCAAAATAGGGATATTGAATTATCTTAACACGTGATTGGAGCTCTGTCGATGCTTGCAAAGGAAAGTCAAACCAACTGAGAGACCACTATTGTCAAAACTAACACAGCCTCTCGTCGTTTCCAAACTGAAACTGAAGCTGAAATTAGAGTTGAGTTTTTGGAGGCTTGACCTTGACAATTACTTAACGTACAAGGCATTTTTCAAAAGCAAGGTTAAGGTAGAAGTAACAGTGGTCTGACTCGTGTTTCGTTTCCATTTCGAGTCCTCTTATATGTGGGATCGTATTTTGTGCTAACTAGGATAAAAAATGGATTACGATAATGTGGATGATGACTTTGACATTTCGGAAGCCAGGCAACTCGTGAAAAAAATGAACAGGAAGAATAGAAAATCTGGGGGTTTTCAATCCATGGGTCTCAGTGCAGCAACTTTTAACGGAATAATGAAGAAAGGTTACAAAATGCCAACTCCGATTCAAAGAAAGGTACGAATTCTTCCCTTGAATTATTTCACTCCAGGCTATTCCTATGATTTTATCCGGTCGTGACGTTGTTTCTATGGCGCGTACTGGGAGTGGAAAAACAGCAGCATTCCTGATACCACTCTTTGAAAAATTTCCATCCCACTCACCTGCCGGTCCACGTGCTTTAATCATGAGTCCAACGAGAGAACTGGCTATTCAAACCTTGAATTTTACAAAGGAGGTAATCTTATTTTTTATTTTTTTGCATAGTAAATTAGCTTGGTAAATTTACACCACTCAAGGCCACAATAATTCTTGGAGGTGACAAGTAAGGTGCTTTTATTATTTAAATTTGTATATATAGAATGGAAGATCAGTTTGCAGCACTCCACAAATCACCAGATATGTAGGTTAATTAAGTAACATTAATATTTGTAGAATTATTGCTACACCAGGGCGGTTTTTGCACGTCTTAATGGAAATGAACTTATCGCTAAAGTCTATTGAATATGTTGTGTTTGATGAAGGCGATCGGTAAGTTCCTCGAAGAAAAATTAGCTTATATTTCTATCAACTGGTCATTTACGTCTCAAGTTTTATCCAGTAAAGGTATCGTAGATGAAGTGTTTTCAAAGAATGCTTTGTTTGGTGTCAGTATTAAGTACAACTTCAATGTGTCATCTAAGTTTTATTGAATCATATCATTAAGACTATTAGCTTATGAGTTTTCAGTATGTTGTTTTTAATATTTTAAAATCAAATGTTTCTCCATGCATAGTGTTCTAAATTCCTGTTGATCCCATACCATATTTAGTTTTTCATACATCGGTTTGCAGATAAGTAGTATTAATTCCGATGTGCTTTACATTAAAGTTAATGGTTTTAGTTTAAGCAGGTGTTCAGACGTTTTGTCATCGGAGTTTTTCAGTTGATAAATGCATTTCAGTTAATTAGGGATCGGATCCAAGAATAGTATTTTTCTGAAGTGTCGGCATTCTCTGAAGCAACTACTCATTAAATAATTCCATAGTCATACAATCTCGAAATACTTTTAAATGTCCACCCCTATATAACCATTGCAAGGGAAGTCCTACTCACCGCCGTCTCGCGACGATGTTTACAAAATTGAGAGGATAAAAAACGAATGTCCGGCGCTCTAGCCGGGTTGGTGAACACAAATAGTCCACCTAGGGGAGTTGTGGAACCCCGACTCCAAACCAATGGTGCACATGGTCCCTAGGGTCCTGAAAGAACAAGTGGCCTATGGACCTATAATTGATCAACAGCTATTATGGGATTGCATCTCCTAACGCTGCTCCACCACTTTGTGGATTATACTTTTAGGTGAATGACTCGAGTTGTGGCCCCCTAAAGAAACCACCTGCTTCTTTTTGAACACCTAGGCAGTATCACAGTCCTCACAAACTAATGATTACTGCTGGCCTCATTGTTATTGTATGGCGCACATATATTTGGTGCCCCCTTGTACCAATGTTTATATGTTCAAGTAAATAAAGAAACACGTTGGGTTTAGGACATTACATAAAAGCAATGTCAGAAAATGCATCTCATATGTTTAGTTCATATCGTTCAGGCAAATAAAATGCATGCTTATTCTATAGTTACCAATGTCATAACAATACTTAGTCAGTTTTTTTCTGTAATTATAATTAAATCGAGTTATTCACGGAATGTTACTACCATTCTCGTGTACGAGTTTCCTTGACATTCATATCGCTCCATTAATTTTCCATTAATATGTAATTTACGTATTTCATGTAAGGCACATAGTAATCCTACTCTAGGAGTACGAGATTAACTTGAAGAGTTGGCGATATTCTAATTCATTATCCTTCAACTAATAAATCATTGTTCATGTTTGGCTCTCGATCTATGACTTCATCAAAGTAGCTAGTAATAACGTGTACTTATACTCGTTAAACATCATACAATGGACACTTGTAACTAGTGTCTCATGAAGACTGTTAAGTCACTTAGTAACAAACTTTAGAGTCCTTAACATTCAGCTGTTGGTGTGTGACTAACTGCAAATCACTTACGGAAATGCATTTAAAACAAAATTTGGAATCATTGGATGTCTTAAAGCCTAATTTAGAAATAGAACTAGATCAGTACTTGATTCCGTGAATGTTATCTTATTTTGTCAATATTTGTTTTCTTTGTTGGCCGTATATTATATTAGGTATGCCGCTACATAAATCTCGGCGTGCTTACTGTCTTATATATCCCACTAATTAGAAAAGGTATATCCCCTCATCACATGTTATTAAGTCTTCGATTGTTCTGGATACGGAATTTTAATGTGCACACAAGATGCATAGCTAATAACGTTTCTTATATTTGCTGTTTAACTTTGGGAGTACTTTTTCCTTTTCAGGCTTTTCGAACTTGGATTTGCAGAACAGCTTTCAGAAACTTTGAAACGTCTTCCACGTAGCCGCCAAACCTTAATATTTTCGGCAACATTGCCTAAAAACTTGGTGGAATTTGCACGTGCTGGACTAGTAGATCCTATTCTACTTCGACTAGACTTGAATTCTAAACTGAGTCAAGACTTAAAGGTATAACATATGTCTGAATTTGTACTAGAATTAAGATGTGAAACTGCGTATATTTAATTTTTCCACTCATCGTTTTGACTAGAATTCACGACTCAACTATACTCTACATTTATATTTTCTTCATTAGAATTGCTAATAACTTGTTCAAATCTTAGATACACTTTTAAATATCACTCATCATCTGGAGTTTAAATTCATATTGATGGTTCACCTAGTTACGTTTAATTTGATTTCATGTTGCTTGTTAAAACATCTCAAGTCTATTTGTGTTAGAGCGTTTTTTGATTGCTGAACAAATCACAAGTATGAGGTGGTACAAATATTTGCACTGGTTTGCAACCACGTATCATTAATAAAGGGATGGGGCATAAACAATGTACACCATAGTAGATCAGGTATACGTAAATTATTTGGTGTGTGAGCAATTTTGTCAGTAAAATTTACTAATTTTTAAGATGATTTAGTTTTATTTCTGTTTGATAGATACGTACCTAACGTGAAGTCGTATCGTAGTGGTTTAAACTCATCCTTCAGCTATTGGGTTGCGAGTTTGCTCTAACTAGTAATAGCTTGATTACTTTTTAGTTTTTCTTGATATTGACATCAAGAACATCTGAACCCTCGTTAATGAAAGTAAAACCTTTGTAAAACGTATTCTCCCAGTTATTATTATCATCAAAAATTATCTTCCTATTAATGTAGGGAGATTTGTTAATCTGGACAGTTTCATTTTGCTTGTTAAGTACGTAGCAAGTTTAAATAAGTATTAACAATGAATCTGCTTTATGCGTTACCATTGATTCTCTGTTCACCTGCAAATTAAATTTATCAGACGACTAGATTATTTTTATTTATTACATATTACTGATTTTGAGTAGTTACTCGGTATCTATCGTTCATCACACCAGTCGTAGTAGGGTCTAAGTGGAGAAACTGACAATATCCATGTATAGAAACATCTTTAAAAGAAGTCTTCATTTGGATTTTGCATGTGCCTGTGGGCTTTATTTTGCTTATATTTATTTTATCCGAGCACTTTCCGTAAGATTGCTGAGTCGGATTCTGCACGAATCTGTTTTTAGAATATACTTCACTATACGTACTACAGAAATAGGATATATAACATGAATAGAACATACATACTAAACGTTAATAGAGAAAGCAATGAACGTAAAACAAAATACGACAAGTTACACTTGTTAAAGCCGTTACATTTAACATTGACTTGTAGTCTAATACATACAGGTCTCACCAATATCAGGCTAAGTCATAGTGATAGTCGTGTAGCAACTCACGTTCAATTGAGTTTGCTCTCACCTAATTCGGTTAAGCCCTTTTATTAACTTATTAAACGGACAAAGTCACCTGCACTATAATAACTTATTGTACCTTTATTATTGTTATGCTTGTATGAACATGTATGCTCGGCAAGCCTTACTGCCTACGCATTTATTCACACTACTAGCTTTACTAATTGACTCGATGATTCATTCATTTCACTATGTATATATGTCTATGTTATTGATATTCATTACTCGCTCGCTCTTGCCCTTGCTCTCTCTCTCCCGCTCGCTTGCCTGTTTGCCTTTCGGCACAACTATTTCATGCTTGCTTAACGCATCTGTAATTTTGGATATCTGTGTGTGGTCCTATGATAAACGTAATTAACACTTCGTTTTCGCCTTCTGATTAATATACCGTTAGAGCGTTATTTAGTAAAGGTTACCGAGACGAACTGTATACGGAGTTTAAGGAATATATCGAACACCGACCACCACAGAATTGGTGAGCCCGACGTGCGACCAAGAGTCAATCTTCGACGACGTAATCCGACCACCACAGTCGTTTAAATTGCCATATGATTGTATACTTGTTCATAAATGTAAATAGCAACATTCACTAGTTATGGCTTAAAAATACTATTACATTCAGTTTTTCTACGTAGAGTTAGATCTGTGACCTTATTAATCTTTTCTAGGTTTCTGTTAGTATTGTCACATTTCCTCTTATTATTTCTCACTGAACATGTTTTGAATTCCAGAGATGACTTTTGTTAAAGAATGTATGTCATTCTAAATGTTTTAATTATTCCTAGTTAGCACACATAACTTGCCTTCCAGAAGAGAAGAATATAATTCTTGTACATTTATTGGGAAAGGTGATACACAAGGATGAGCAAGCTGTAGTGTTTTTTGCCACCAAGCATCATGTTGAATCCTTTCAAATGGTAGGTAATATATATATATATATATATATATATATATATATATATATATATATATAAAGCTGATTGTTTTGAAGTTTTTACTTTCTTTGTTTAGTTCAATAAGTAACTCACCCAGTATCGACTTTCACTGTTTAACACTGGTTTGCTTTGTCTTATGGTTTTTGTGTTATAGTAACATAATCTCCTTACTGTCAGGTAGCTAACAAATATTTTTAGAGATTTGTTTCGTTATCAGCTTGTGTATTTGATTGTATTTAGAATAATTTCGAATGATTTATGCATATGGAAGAGCTTCGAATTCCGGTCAAACGAAATAAGTTAACCGTCATCGTACTGTGCTATCACCAGAAAACTATCCAATAGATTCAGTTAATTCTGTACATATTTGCACGTGCTCAATCGGATTGATGTAGTCCATTCCTATCTATATTAGTGGTCATTTCTGTAATCACTGTCAAGACAGTGCTTCTTTACATGCCTTAATTAGCTTCTTGCTAGAAAAAAGTTGTCGTCAAAGATTAGTTGTACTAAATAATCGTCTGTGTTTATTTTTTAGATCATCACATCAAAAGCACCTCTAATGTGTCCTTCCGTTTAGCTTAGTCTACCTACTTGGACGTAACAGCTTTGCGCTACGATGATGCTTTATGACTGTTATACCTTTTTATAGGATTCACATTTCTTATCTAACAAAATTCAGTCATCGAGAAATCTAGTAGAAACTCTAGGGTCATAATTGTGTGTATCCTAAGTTGTTTTTGCTCTAATAGTGTCACTTGACTGGATCATGCGCAGGGTATACGATTGCTACTTGATCCTTAAGTTTGCATTTTACTTTCATGCTTTGATATACCTTAATCATTGAAAAGATAAGAAGTTGCTATAGAGTCTCCTATAACATACTGGTCTACGGCATTGAGCAGATAATGCATAGCGAATAACCACAGTTGAATCCCATATTTGTATTTTAGAATCCCAGCATATATATTTGTGATATTAAATTATGAGGTTTTGACCACTGAAATATGCTGTTTCATTTTGTGTTATAAAACATTTGGAGTTTCAGTATTCAGTTTTAAGAAACAGTTTAATAAGGACAATTTGAAATCATTAACACTCGTTATAGATGCGAAGAAACAAACTTTTCATAAAGGGTTTGTGGTAATGTTTTGAATAAGGTACGGTAAACTAATTTATTATTATACGCGAAATTACTCAGCGCCTTTGTAGAATATTGTTAAGTTTGCTTACATTGTTCCTACTCGTTTCCTTCCCACTCTTTCGTATATTGTTTTGTACTACTTATTTACATTCAGTAAGCAATTGTATTCCCAACAATTTTACACTTATGTTGTAACGCAAGTTGTAGTGTATTATTCTGAATTATTCACATATATTTATGACGTTTATTGTACTTATCATTGTATTTATCATTATAATTACCGTAACTTAATCACTGTAACGTTTATCCACAGTTTCGTGCATTTGTTTAAACGCAACAGTTTCCATATGGTTTTGCTCTTGGTTCGGGTTTCGATTGTTCATAAACTGCTATCAAATTTAGACACAGCTATCAGCTGTCCTTTGTACTATCGTATGTTATAATTATTCCTTATGCTACTGTTACAGGAAGCCCTTTATGTTTATTTTTAAAGGACGGGTTTAAACGCCACAGACACCTCACAAGTTGAGGTATGTAACTAAATTTTGTGTATTATTAAATAAAGAACCGCTATTGTAGACAAATCGTTGTTTTGGAACTTCGGTTTCGCGCGTATCTCAATCAGGTGAACTAGACGCTTCGATAGAATTAACAAATATGAAAATCGTACATTAAATACATATCTTCCTTGAGTTGTTCTTTACATACTTCACCATTCTCCCAATCCTGTTGTTATTCCGATTGCTCTCTGTTTTCCTTTCCCTTCTCTTTATTTCAATCTCCTGCTGGTATACATTCCATTTCCAGTTCCTGCTACGTACTACTTACGTCTATTCACATAAGTAGCGTACACCACAGCATGAATAAAATAACATTTAAAAAATAAGGAGAAGGATTTGTGATAAACTGAATATGTTTAACTGAGGTTGACTAAAAGTTCCTATCTACTTATCATGAAAAATGGTCTTTCAAAAACGTTTTGTTAACACAAGTTCACATATGCAATAGTATCTCACTTTCTAATTCTTAATACATTCCATCGCTGTATACTGTAATTTGAGTCGTGGTTTTCTGATAAATCGCAGACTATTGGATATAATTTCTTCGTTAAAAGTTTGTATGCACGTGTCAAAATTTGAATAACAAGACGTTTATGAGTTCACTTTTTTGTACAGTTATTAACCGATCTTGGCTTCGAATGTACGTGTATTCATTCGGGACTTGATCCAAGCGCAAGGAATCTTTCTCTGAAGAAATTTCGTTCTCGAACTGCTCGTGTTCTACTTGTAACAGATGTTGCTGCAAGAGGTGTGGATATTCCTCATCTTGATAATGTAATTAATTTCCATTTTCCGGCCCAACCCAAACTCTTTTTACATCGAGTGGGTGAGTTCTACTTTGATTTATATATTTATTATAATGTAAATAATCCAGGTACGTTAAAAGAATTTTCAGACAGTTTTCTCTGATAGTAAACTTCGCTTCACTACTATGCACAATATTTAGATTTTTTTACTATTTTATCTAAATAAGATCTATCATTTATCTAACTAGTGATAAGATTCGGTACTACCTTGTTTTCATTTATTTCTGAGATCTAAGCCATACAATTCCTCAGTCGGACTCCCCAACGTATCGATGTTAAGTGACATTTGATGACAAGGTGCATCCATAATTACTCTAGCATCAAGGCACTAGGTCCACTTATATCTTGCCTTGTCAAGACTTTTCGTACTCATCCTGATAATTCTCCTGTTTTTTATTTCCTACATGTTGCTGTTAAGTGTTAGATGACTATGTATCGTTTTATAATTGTGCGAAATTTTGCGTTCCTCATTCTTCCGACCCATTTTGTGCTCAAATATGATATTGAGAATAAATAATAAGAGTTAGGGTGAATTGGTCCTACAGTGTGTTGTCTGCGAAATAGTACGAAAGGAATATTTATATCGGGAACGTTCAAGGTGATATTTTCTCAGCGATCCAGAGCAGTACAGTCATGCGTCATGCGTTAACTTGGAATTGTGGACCCAAAATCAACATATATAGTTTTTTGAGAAATATTTGGCTCCAGGATAAACGTGACAACTGTAGTAAAAATATAAAAAAGTTTTCTTGATAGATTGTCCATTGTTATCCACTTCTTCCATTTTTTCATAATCCAAATATTATTTCATATTTATTTTTTAGGTCGTGTCGCTCGTGCTGGTCGACGTGGGGTTGCTTATTCTTTAGTCGATCCCGAAGAGTTACCTTACCTACTAGATGTATTCATGTTTTTAGGTAAAGAGTGGAAAGTGTGCCAGTCATCAAATAAACAAGTAGAATGGGAAAGTGACTGTGTTGGCAGAGCACCAAGAAGCATTATGAGCAATCTGGCCGCTCGTATTGAAAGTATTTCATCCAAAAATTCTTCTCTTGTATGTGTCATACTAAAGTTATATGACAATTCTTATTTGTCATACATATTAGAAAAAAATGTATTTGTTATATATATAATCCTAATCAAAACGTGCGAAAAATATCTGTAATGTGGTTGCATCAATTAGAACTAATCAGGAAGTCAGCGTGCCTGAGTCTGTTATTATCTGTTTGCTGTTTGCTTACCGATACCATTTCCCTCAGTCAAATGTTTTACCTTTTCACCTTCATCGTTATTCGAATATGTCTCTTTGCAAATTGCCTTTACCAAAAACCAACCGATGTCCTACCCTCATCGCTTATTACTTGAATATTATTTTATGTCAGATTAGGTGGTTAAATAATTATTGTCAGACCAGAAATATTTAAAAACTCAAAATCTTAAAATCATATATTTTTAATTTCAACCTCATACTGGTCGTCTCTCAAGTAGGAAAGTACTTGGTTAATAATCCGTTTCCATTTGTTATTTTGGTTGATATTAATCTGAGATAAAAGCTGTAGAAGCCCATGTACTGTCAAATAGCATTCTCTCTCTCTCTCTCTCTCTCTCTATATATATATATATATATATATAGAGAGAGAGAGAGAGAGAGAGAGAGAGTTTTTACTTTAGTAGTCCAACATCTGTTTTTCAGAAATCAAGCAAAAATGTTTGTATTTTTCTGCCGAGCAATCTAATATCTCTGTGTTATTTCAAAGGTTTTGTCAAAGTTTAAATGGTTTTTGACTCAACTTGACAATTTTTCTGTCCGATTTGGAGGTATTTCTATCAGATATCATTTTCTCAAGAGTTTCAAGATTACACCAGTGGAAGTTAATTTGGAGGTGTTGTGTTAGGAGATCATTCGGTTTTAGCACTGAAATGCCAGCTTCATTTTCGTAAGTCTAATAAGCTAACTGAGTGAGATATATATCTCAAATAACTAAGTTAAACATCAACCAGTACCATGCACACATGGACATCTCTTATCTGTTATTTAACCTTGAACTGTCATGTGCTCGTGAGCAGGTGATATGATGTCTGACCGACTTAGACTATCAAGAACAAGCGTAGACTATTTACATAAAACTACATGGAAAAATATTTCCAGCTCATATTTAGTGTCATTTTAAAACTGAGTAATATTGTGTCATATCCCTGAATGCTTTGAAATTTAAACCTATGTAAAGAATTTCCATAATGAAAATTATTGTCGGAATCCCTCAACAAGTAAATTGATTTATTCATTCTAGTTAGTTACTACTTTCTAAAGAAATCCATTTTAAAATTTTCAGGAATCAATGAAGAAGGTTTGTGTCAATGCGATGAAACGATTCCTTCAAATTCGTCCAAATGCATCTTGGGAATCTATTCGACGTGCAAAAGATCTAAGAGATGCGCACTTTTCATTGCCTGTTCACCAGATTTTTGGTAAGAATACAGTCAGATTTATTTTATATTAGCTTCATCCGAGTATATTATTCAGACTTTTGTTATAGATTTTGTGAATACAAGCATATGATTAAAGATTATCATACATTGCATGATGAGTAAATCAGAGATTCATAAATGATTAATAAGCCAACTCTGTGTATTATTCATTGTGTGATTGGTGCTGTGATTTCCATAGAGTTCAAATTATGAAATGTCACATAAACACATCGTCATGTTACAGGTTATAAAACTCACTGTATAATAAATGTTTGTAGAATAACCAACGATTTAGATGGTCATTGTTTATCAACAGCGAATTAATCAGTGTATTACTAATTATTTAGTGAATGTGTATTTAGATTGATTGGCACAGATCATGTAAACTATTTATTTATTTGAAGGATTGTAAAGTACAGCCAGTTGGATAGATTTCAGTCAAGAATTACCATAAAGAATATTCAAATTGTTTTATCACTAGAAATGAAAAACTTGGCTTAAAATGTACATTTAATAAGTTTTTTTACACTTAAGATAGTTGTTTAAGACGGAATATTTCAGAACTACACTGTCGAAGTTATAAGTTACTATCAACTTAATATCAATTTCATCCAGTACAACCAAGAGAAATCATTTTGGAAACCACAGGAATGACATACGATCTTCTAATTGGATGAGGGTTTTTATTATTACATTCTTATCGTTTTAAAATTCGGCGTCTTGGACTGTAAAACAAAATTTAATGTAATCTAAGCAGTCTAGTCATAGGCCACGATACATAATTACACTTAATATATTACTGAAAACCTGTTCAAGTTGTTCATTAACAGAGTAGGCACAGTGATGTGTTAATTTCCTCAAAGAATATTTTGTTGATACACTACTGTTGTTTTTATTATATGCACCATACTCTTGAATATTGTTTCCTTTATAATTGCTTTTCCATTACGAAGATACCTTTTATTCGCTTTGTAGATAATTCAGCAGAAAAAGAAGATGGAACAAGTAATGAGATATTAGGTGTTATACGACAACTCAAATTGCCTGTGAGTTACATGCATTAAACCTTTTCATAAGATAATAATTGTTTATATTCTGACAGTGTTAAACAATGAACACTATCAGTTTTGTATTTCACTCATACGTAATACATACTTAAAAAGGATAAACAACATTCCGACTATGAAGCATTAAACAAAAACTTATCACGTATATTTCCATGTTGAAGCTTACTTAATTATCGTTTTCCACATCATTTTAATTTCTTCAAGTAATTTTGATACTTATTCAACAGTATACTGGAATTTTATTTGTACAATGCTATGCTTATACAGAAATGTGCCTTAAAGAATGTTTAAAGTTCTTTTTCATACTTTCTTACAGACTATATTTGAAGCTTTGGGCAAACATGTGAATCCTGAAGCTTTTGCTACAATGATGAAGAAAAGAAAACTACATGATCACATTATAGCACGTCGTGCTGCTCAGCGAGCTGTAGGTCAAACCAACAATGTACTGAAGGTGAGACATTATATATATATATATATATATATATATATATATATATATATGACGACTTAATGAGCGTAATTACTTTGAAACACAAGCTTCGGTGGCCTCCTGCATACGTTTTACACTAGCTGTTTCAGAGAACGTCAAACCGTACATTATTTGTGACATTTGGATCGAGTACAAAAATACTGAGGCAATCAGTTTATGATATAGTGCTATCAAATGAAGAAGTTACATTGTATGAGGTTCTGTTGTCTCTTCATATGTTTCGAGATGAATCGTTTTGATTCAGTATGGCAGCATTCATCAATCTGTAAATATTGTTCGTAATTAAATTAGAATCCTATTTCCTCTCCATATTCTCTTTTTAATGAATTTCATTGGCATTTACATCCTTGGTGTACAATACTATTCTGTTTACAAATGCAATAAACCAAATGAACATAAAATCATTGCATTGATCTTAAAGTTATGTTAGTCAGTCAGTGAATAAAGCCTTTTTAATTAGTTTATTATATATTATAATCATATTGTCTAGATACTTAGTAGGTAGCACTCACATTTAAAATGGAACTTGAAGTCAATTACAAAAATCTAACTGGTATATAAGTTAACATAACTTACTGTTGTACCTATACATTTGAACAATTTTACTTAAATCCCTATAATTTCCCCCCTCTTAGAATTTAGTAGAGAGAAAGGTCTCATTAACTGACCAACTAGGTGCATGTAATGCTAATGATGAAATGTCGGATAATTTGGAAAATATTGACTTCTTTGTCCCATATTCACGTGGTGATGAAGCAACAGAGAATGGGTTATCAATTACTGGAACGAAAAGTCAATTTTGTTTAGATGCAGCAGCGGCTTCATTAGATTTACTAAATGATGAATCTCAACAAGTCAAGTAATGACAATTTTTGATGTATTTAATTTAATGATTAATTGATTTTATTAATTGGATTGGTTTCTCAGCTAAGTTTATACTTTTCAAAACATCTTTTTTGTGCTTATATAATGATTATTTTGATTATGTTTTTAATTATTTTTCATTATATTCTTTTACTGTCTTGTATTCCTGAAACACTATCTCACTATTCGGTTCCCATAGGAAAATTAAAAGCGAAAGAAAACAGTTCATGTTTCAATAAAGTTTATTTAGAATTTACATAGGAATATTTCGTCATCTTTAGTGCTAATTGGTTGAAAAGGAAGCAATCAACGTGTTTTGAGCATGGATTAGTTAGGACTGTCTTGTCAACACTCATTTGGAGAAATATCTTGATAAATAAAACACTCGGGTCTCAACTATGAGTGATGAATTCGAATCCCACTTCATATAGTTCGATTTGTTCAGCCTGGTGATATTACAATCAACCTTCACGCTAATCTATACAGCTCAAAGCAAAGTACATAAAACATGCACGTGATAGAAGTCTCACTATTTATTTCATTAAAGGATCATTAGTAAATTGTTTTTTTTTAATCTAAAGCAAACATTTAGTCATTAAATTTTATTATGCGTTTATCACCAATAGGTTCATTTTAGCTAGTCAGAAATGTTGAATTAAATTTCTTATAACCTATGGAATAAAAAGTTGGTAAAAATTATTACGATTTTTTAAACTTGTGCCGTACACTTAAACTTTATTAAATAAATAACTTATGTCCTACATTCCGGTCCTTTTATTTTCTAATAATAATTCAGTGGTGGAGTTGCAGGATCACATAGTCGAAAGCTTGTTTGGGATCGTAAACGCAAACGATTTACTGGAATGGATGCTGCTCAAGGCAAAGCAAATATGAAACGTATTAAAACTGAAAGTGGTGTATGGATTCCTGCATCATACAAAACAGACAAGTGGGTCATTATCATTAACTGAATCTAATTTCCACCAAAAATACCACATCATCAATCACTGTAATTGATTTATTTTACTGAATACTTTTCAGTGTATAAATAAGTATATATATTTGTCCAAATTGAAAATTAAAGGTCAATTATGTGTTGGTTTGTTTAGGAGATATGAAATAAAGTGATATATTAACCCTTAAATAATGCTTCTAATGCATTTTATTTTACATAGTTATGCTGAAGTGCAATTGTATGACAAAATGAGGGACTTTCTAATCCCTTACAATTCATTGCACACTATTCTATTTATGACTTTTTCACAATGTAAAGCATCTCTCTCTAACCGTTATATTCTTTTTCTTTTGTTAAGATATAAATTGTGGCTTAAAAAATCCAAGTCAGATATTATACAGGAAACAAGCAAAACCACAGAAGAATCATCCTCCGTTATCGATGCTTCAAATACGCGTAAACAATTTTCAAAATATGGTGATGTAATTGAATTACCTGATACAAATGAAGTGACCGGTAAACAAAATCATTTTTTCAAATCATCGACAGGGAAAAAGAATAAAAAACAGCAGTTAACACCGAAATTCACAGTAATTGGATCACAAAAATGGCGTAAGTAAAAAGCTTTGTCAATAACCTAATTTTAACAACCGCTTTTTGAAACATTAATATATCACTATGATGAATTTTTTAGACTAAATGGTGTTCTTTAGTAATTTTTATTCAGTCGATAAAACTTAAATCATTCACATGTGAACTGAGCCATATTAACAGATGTAGAATACCTGATTAGGGTACGGGTGATTATCATATCCAGGGATTAGAAACTTTGAGCGATGTAGCTCAAAGTCGTTTGCGATGGCATGGGTACATTCACACTTTGTCTTCACCCAGATTCTAAGTTTCTGAATTCCTTATAATTTTTTTTAAAATCTAACTAATTTATACTTTTTTGAATCGTATCTCCGATCCCTAATCTTCCCAATCATCACTCATAATGTTACTACCTCTACTACTCTGAGATTTGTACTGACGATTTTATCTGATTGTACCGATGGGATAAGGCAACTCGAACCAATGTCCTTACGGACCAGCTTCTACTTTTCTACTGAATGACAGTTTTGCTTAAACCGTGCCATAATCACCATTATCACTTTATGTAACTGTAGGATGAAATTGTGGCTCACTGGTAGTAGTAATAGTATATAATCAAAAGTATCAGACATTACTTTTACATAACCTATTAATCAAATACATGTACATCCTTTTCAGTAAAATGTCAAAATCATACATGAAATACATTATTTGCACATCTTTGAATGGTCTCTTACAAGCTTCATTGTACTCTCATCAGTATTTTTGTCTTGATTGCTTTCAGTTTCCTTCTCTTTATATCCTTCTTTTCAACTCTATGCCCGCACACATTCCACTTCCGACTGGTGTTACATGCTACTCATGTTTACAGATATAAGTAGTATGTACCGCAATTATACTAGTTAAACAAACAGATGGTTTGTACAGACATATAGTTTCACTTGATTTCTCCATATATATATTTGTACACTAATTTTAGAAGACCGAGCAACTTCTCGACAGAGAGAACGTTTACAGAATGCAGAAGAAAGGCAAAAAATACGCAAACCAAAAGGATCTCGAACATTTGGTCAACTCAGGCTACCTGAGCAAATATTGAAGCAACGTAAATTGCGCGAAAAACAGAAACAACGTGCTCAGAAAAACAAGAATAATAACCAGTCACACAAAAAACGGAAACATTAAAGTATTTTAACTATACTAATTTCTGTACAGTTAATTTTATTTTATTGAGATAACGTATTTAAGTAATAAGAATTCTATTGTGAACAATATACACCTTGTTTATGTTTATTGAAAACAGTTAATGGTGAACTATTTTATTTAAACACTAGGGAATGAGCTAGTTCTGGATTTGACGACGTAACCGCTGTAAAGTCCGTTACCGTACATTGTTGGAACCTGCTTTTGTTGTAGTGCGTTAGTTCTTCTGAAATATTGCAGTGAGTCCATTCTCATAAACCTTATTGATAAATCAGGTAATTATTTCTATAAGTAGCAGCATAGCAGTTTGTACGAATAACACAACGGTAAAATGGACAGATTTTTGTTTCATTAGATAACATTCATGTACAGAGTAACAGACAGTTCAACTACAGTTTAAGTCATTGCGCTGTCATCTGCTATTCACAAAAAGTCGACTGCTTTTTTCTTGCATAATAATGTTCAACCTGCTAGAGAAACATTTAATAATGAATTACTAGTTCTATTTCATATCGACACTTACGCAGTCATTAAGTAGTGGGTGTTTATTGTTGCCGCAACTAATTTTATCAACTTAATAACCCAGGTTTTTTTGATCAGCAATATCAATAATAACTAAATTCACATTGTTGTGGTTATGAGCAAAATATTGTCATCAAGAGAATGACAATTTACGTAAAATTTCTCTACATAATCAGCAATTCCCTACTTGATCTAGTCATAATAATTGATGATTTACTTGGCTTTTTCAGTTAAAAACAACTTTTACATTTATCTTTGTATCATGCACCATCAGTTTTTATGAAACTTTACTTCAAGTTCATTGTCAAAATATACTGTATTCAGTTTTTATTTATCATCATGCTCCGTCTCACACATCTGCAAAAATTTATGAATATAATATGAAAAATTATCGTATCAACCTGGTTAGAACATTTCTAATCAGTCGTTTGTATGAAGTTAGGCTACGGAATGACTTCTATATATGTGATGACACAGAGATGGGTTTTCTCCTCAGGATATCCAGTTACGAAACCTCATTTGTTTTAACAGCACTTTTAATCGGATATACTATGTAGGATTTAGGAGCTTAATTTCCATATTTTCTGACAAGTTATATTAATGTTATAGATATTCGCATGAAAGAAAACTAGGCCAAACGTTTTTATTATTTTCAGCAGTAGGATATAAAAAGAATACTTAAACAAGAACTTTGCCATATTCTTTATTTCGTGAGTGACAGTTGTAAAATAAATATCGAGACAGCGTCATGGGTTGATATTATACTACTGTTTAATCGCCTTAAAGATTTATGTGTGTCGAGTTAACTGACACTTCAAAAACATAGAAAGCTGAAGCAAAGTTCGAATAACATTTTTACGAAACAGTAATAAGTATTTTTGGAAAAAGAAAGTCTGGTGACAGATTTTTATGCTGATGTATTGAAGCAAACAGGCTACTATAACGAAATGTATATTGGTATATCTGATAATACACTGAATATGATTCCAATTTACGCTCAAATATCACTCCACTATAATTAATATCAAGTAGTCCATAGTACTTTTGTTGCTATATGTAAACTGCTGCATTATCTTATGATGATTTGCCAGTCAAAAAACAAACAAACGAACATTATAAACAAATCAAATATTTATTTCATTAAAATATTTATCACAGTGTTTAAGATGAAATTATGTATAACAAATTAGTTGAAACGAATCCCATATAAATAGACACAATAAAAAAATATGTATGCATACAAGTTTCACTTTTGATCATTCCCAATATGGTAGTCCAGAAATTCTTTCAGTTGCAAATAAATCGGTGGATATTCTCGTTGTTGTCTTAGTTGGACCTAATGAAAGCAAAATTCCTAAGTACATTTTACTCTATCAAACAATGGATAATAATACACATAAATTTATATGATACAGATCATCAATGTCCTTAATTTGTTGTTTTTAAAAGTATTTAGATCGTCATAAAAAGCTTTTTCAGTTACAAATATCACTTAAAATTAGTATGAACTTTTGGAAAGTGGTCTTTGTACCTGAACAAATATAGTTCTTTGTGATCTCAGTGGTAACCGGTGTTACGATGTAACGTTTAGGCTTTCTTTATCATGACGAAATGACCAAACTATGTTGCAATAAAGAGTGAACTGAAAAGTGGTGTTCAGATCAAAGTACGGAGCCGATCCGTTAAAGTAACTAACAGACTGAAGTAAGTAAGGATGTGCCAACTTCCTTGATGGGATCTGTTAATAATAATTTATGAAGATCAATTGCAATAGTGCAAATGCATACGTCTTTGTAATTATGTAGTTTAGTACCATAGAATGTCTCTTGTCTAGGAATTTAATTTGTTTCTGTGGCACTATGCCTCATACCTAACAGTTGTTGCTACCTTGACGTGGTGGTCGGGCTTGCCTATCGTGATAAAGCAACTGAGCTATACTGGCTGGAACAACCGTTCCTCAAGGTCCTACCATGCCAGACAGGTCGGTTGAAGAGCGGTAAGACTAAAAGCAACAAAACCAAGGTCCGAAGGCGAAGTTGTACTGCTGACTGTACAGAGGTGTGACAGCAGTAAGGTGTTTCCTTCAGACAACCAGCATGACAGCGATGCTGCCTTCCCACAAGGAGGGGTGGGGTTAGAAAAGTTCGACCCTAAAAATGCACACCTCGCCTTATTCCACGGATATCCGTCTCTGGCGGTAAGGTCTCAACAGGTACGGAGCTAACACAAAAACTACTCATAAAAAGGTCGTGTGTGACCGACCTCAAGCAGCTGTCCCTTGGGCACTGCGGTCACGCTCTCAGGTCACTATGACCAACTCTAGTCCAATTTCCTTTTCAGGTACCTCCAGCAGAACCCTTCCACGGTGTGGGCAACCGGGAAGTGATAACCGCCCTCATACCTCTAACAGCACTCAAGACCACTATATTCATAGTCAACCTCCCTCTTCAATTCCTATTATTCCTCCTACATCGACTTTCTATACCAAACTTCCTCTTTTAGCTTCCTCCCCAAGTGTCACAACAGCCAACGATTCTAGTGCTCAAAACACTGTCCCAGGTCTACTGAAACCTCGCTCCAAACTACACATTGGAGCCTTCAAAGTACGCACACTATGCCAAATCGGTCAGCAGGCTTCCTTGGCTAAAACCTTAGAATCTCGTACCATTTATGTATGCTGTGTCTCCGAAACACGCATACAGGATCCTAGTGTGGTCATTCACTTGACCTCACTTCGATAAAACGGAGGGCCGACGAGATACACCCTCCGTGTATTTGGCAACCCGATGGCTAGTTCTCGTGGACTGGTAGGTGTAGGCATAGCACTAAGCATGAGGGCAGAGCAGGCGCTATTAAAGTGGATCCTCGCCAACAGTCGTCTATGTGCTGTTCGGCTAAACGGCTCGGTAAGAACTCGGAAGGATAGGGACACACGTCGTTGCCTTTTCGTCGTTTCTGCCTACGCTCCCACTGACTGCAGTTCGGATGAAGTGAAAAATGAATTTTACAGAAAGCTGTCTGAACTTCTTCAGAAAGCTAAGCGCTCAGACATAGTACTCGTAGGAGGTAACTTTAATGCCCAGGTAGGTAGCTTAAACGAAACAGAAAGACACTTAGGAGGGTATTTTAGTATTCCGGCACAGAGAACAGATAATGGTGATCGTCTGCTGCAACTTTGCTCAGACAATCGTTTATTTTTAGCAAACACAAACTTTAAGCAAAAGGAGAGAGATCGTCTAACATGGCGACCCCCCGCACCAATTCAACGATGGACGCAAATAGACCATATCGCCATCAGTCATCGTTGGAGAGGGTCAATAGAAGATTGTCGCTCATTCTGGGGTACCTGCTTGGACTCCGATCATGCCCTAATACGAGTACGTATCTGCTTGCGCCTCACTGAACGCAAAAGAGCCACACAAAAAAGACTCATTAGAACCGAATTGAGTAATGAGAAAGCCAAAAGTAGGTTCCAGGAACAACTGAGGTCACACTTAGGTAGTTCTGAAAACGAGGCTGACCTAGATGTTGCTTGGAAAGTTATACAAGCAGCTGTGGAAACAGCAGTGACATCTACCAGTGATTTAAACCAAATGGTTACAAAAAACCAATGGATTTCGTCAAGGTCTATTGCACTGATAGATTCTCGCAAACTCATCCCATCAGGTTTTGAATACGATGAAGAGCGTAAAAAAAAATCAGATCTAGGTTAAGCAAAAGTCAAAGGAATGATCGTGAGCAGTGGTGGGCAACGAAAGCAAAAGAGATGGAAAAGGCGGCGGCTATAGGGAACACAAGACAACTCTACAAACAAATAAAAGAAACTGGAATTAATAAACCAAGTGTAAGTCAGACCATTTCGGAAAAAAACGACACTCACCTGCTCCTAGTCCAGACGCTTAGAATAATGGGCGGAACACTTTAAGGAGCAGTTTAGCTGGCCTTCAGCTACTCTACAATTACCCTCTATTCCCAGACAGTGTGAATGGAACATTGAAGTAGGTTCCCCATATCTAGCTGAAGTTCAAAAGGCTATAGTTAACCTGAAACGAGGAAGGGCAGCTGGTCCAGACGGATTGGCCCCAGAGGTCTTTAAGGATGGTGGTCTAGTTTTAGCGATTAGGCTGACTAATATTTTAGCTAAAATCTGGGAGTTAGACGTTATCCCATCTAACTGGTCACAATCACTTATCGTCCCAATATTTAAGAAAGGGTCAAAATCATCCTGTGACAACCATAGAGGGATTAGTTTGACTAATATAGTATCTAAAATACTAGCCTCGATAATTATCGGACGCCTAACTAAGACTCGTGAACTGCAAACACGTGAAAATCAGGCTGGCTTCAGACCTGGTCGTGGCTGCATCGACCACATATTCACCATTTGTCAGGTTCTAGAACACAGGCATACTTATCGGCGTCCGACAATGGTGGTCTTCCTTGACTTAAAAGCAGCGTTTGACTCTGTTGACCGAGAGGTTCTGTGGCAGTGTTTGTCATTGAAAGGCGTACCTCAGAAGTAAATAAACCTTGTGAAGGCTCTTTACTCAAACACTACCAGTTGAGTCAGAGCCTATAGAGAACTGTCATCTGATTTTGCAACCTCAAATGGTGTCCGACAAGGCTGTCCACTATCTCCATTTTTGTGTAACTTCATCATAGACCTACTGCTGGAAATAACGTTCTCTTTGACTGAATTTTCAGGCATTGATCCCCTATCCAGGAGGTCCACTTATCGACTTGGAAACGCAGACGACATAGTCCTGTTTGGTGAAGGCGCTGATAAAATACAGAGTCTTTTGTTGCACTAAGCAACAATGCCAGAATGTTTGGGATGCGCTTCTCTCCCTCTAAATGCAAGTTGTTGCCTCAGGACTGGTCTTCGTCAACACCTGAACTAACGATAGGGAGTGAAGTAGTCGAACGCGTTGACAACTTCACTTATCTTGGAAGTCTGATCAGCCCTAATGGGTTGGTGTCTGACGAGATCTCAGCACGGATTCGAAAAGCTCGTTTGGCCTTTGCCAACTTACGTCATCTATGGTGAAGGCGAGATATCTGTCTGTCAGTTAAGGGACGAGTATACTGCGCAGTAGTTCGTTCCGTTCTAATATACGACTGTAAAACATGGCCATTAAGAGTAGAAGATACTCGTAAGCTACTAGTATTTGACCACAGATGCCTTAGAAATATTGCTGGTATCTGCTGAGATCACCGGGTAAGTAATAGTGAGGTTAGAGGCAGGGTATTAGGGAATGATGGTAAGTCAGTTGATGAGGTTGTGAATCTTCATCGACTGAGATGGTTGGGCCACGTGTTGCGTATGCCTGAACACCGACTACCACGGCGCGCAATGCTAACCGGTGTTAGGGATGATTGGAAGAAAGTTAGGGGCGGCCAAACCAAAACGTGGCATCAGTGCTTGAAGTCACTAACTTCTGGTCTGAGCCATGTTGGGAGATTCAGACTGCCTGGTTGGGGTCCGCGTGACTATAGTAACCAATGGTTGGAGACTCTTGGTGACATGGCTCAGAATCGATCACAATGGCGTCGGTGTATACACTCTCTGTCTTCCTTTAATCTAAGAGATTAAAATCACTTCACATCTTTCTTTCTAGGAACTAATTCTTTCTTCCTGTACTATCTCCTTATACACAATCTTTCTTCTATATATTACCACCACTGAATTAACTACTTTTATGAATCCGGTATTGATCTTGTTGTGCTAATGCGGTATGGCAACTTGGACCGATGCATATACGTGCCTGGTCCTACGTTGCAGCTGACTGACTATGCGTCATATGATGTCTACTCGATTTCTTCACATTATTTTGAAGTGAATTGCGGTGACTTGATTCTGATAGATATTTGTAGTAGGTTCTGCGCTGTTTATTATCAACCACTTGAAATCTTCATACCGGTCATTGACTCGTATGAGGGTCTTTTTATATGATACTGACAATTCTTATATACAACTAGTATTTACATTATAATACGAGTTTTTAATAATAAGATTTACAAAAATTCGACCGAAGATTCAATTGTCCTAAGTTTTATTTTAAATTGGAGTTCTCAGAATCAATGCAGCTTTTTCTTATCGAATATTTCCTATAAAGATGACAATAAATACAGAAAACAGCACATATGAACTTAGATTTAATTTAAGAATCCAATTTTAGAAATTCTAAAAAGATACATTTTTTATAAAATTACCTCATGGACATATGCTGAAAGACCATTGCGTAGAAGAACTAAACGTTCCATATCATTTTCCCTTTTCACCAACCACGATACGTAGTAATTTGTAGACCAACCTGCAATAATATGGGGATAACGAATTTCATCCGGTGCTCTGCTAAACATATGTTGACAAACCAAACTCGGCAGTAGATGCTTTGACGAAGAATGAATTGAATCCTCATTTGCATAAATCTGAGAAAAAATTATATATATATATATATATATATATATATATATATATATATATTGTGTGTGTGTGTGTGTGTGAATATATTAGTCTATACTATTTAGAATCGGGGAAAATATGAAAATGCTTTCTATATATTACGACTTAATAAAAGCAGATATATTCGCACAAATGAAATATAGTCAAGTCAATGTTAATTATTATCGAGTGGCTGCACATACAATGGTTAAAACATTTAATTTCCATCAGAAAGTTGTGGGTCTGAACTGTGCTTCGTCTAACTTGGTTTGGCTTGGTAGTATCATCAACTTTTCAGGCATAGTATTTCCTCAAAGCCAACTATATAAATGTTCGTACTTAGTAAATGAGCTGTATGATCAAAATTAGATAAGTTTTACAAGATTTACAATTGTTCAGGTCTCGAAACCTATGATCAACATAACATAGTGATTACAAGTTATTTGTTCGGTATATATTGAAATACTAAGGTTTATTAAATATAATTCAAATTAATGATAATTTACATGGGATCTATGTAATCTAAATGTTTAATTGCATAGTTTATGGCTTGCTAACAATATATTGACTGATCAAAAGTTTGCTAAATTTCAATATTTGTCTGGACGTAATTGAACTAATCTTCGTTCTCCTTGTATTTGCTTAACATTGACCGTTCGTTGTTGCTTTCATCAACAGGAATGTAAGTTTGCAAACTTAAATTGATGGTTTCCTACTGTAATATATTATATGAATATATTCTGAGAAACCACAACAGTTATGCGACTAAAGTCGACTTCTCAAGCGCTTATTTGTGTGAAAATAGCAATTATATTTATCAGTATATTATCAAGTATAACCATCAAAGTCAACAATCCACTATTTATTAATAATAGAAATGAATATTCTAAGTACAAATTTATAGTCCTATTTCACCGGGAATTCATGTCCATCTCCTTTGCAAATGAAAAAAGCTGGTTACCTTTTCCATATACCTGACCAGTTTAAAGCATTTAGTACGATAATTCTGTAAATATCATGTTGAGTAGAACACAAATAATACCCTCAAACAATTTAATAAACTCGATTAAAATTAAAAACAGGCAACCGAATACATAAATCACACACACAAAGCGTACCTGAACTAACTGTTCATTTTCCATAGATAGAATAGAAGGAAATTCTCTTAATTGTTCATAAGATTCTGGAATTAGTTTACTTAATGTATATCCATAATTTGGAGAGCATAGTGGCATTAAAGCTAATTCGAAATCCTTATAATCAGCGGCTAGTTTAAGACGTATTGATTCTTTTGAAGAACGAATTAATGTTGATCGCCAAAGATAACTGTTGACACACAAAGTAAGAATCGGTTTTAAAGCATCTTGCAATGCGAATTCACCGCAAACATAACATCCTGATTGTGTGAATACATTAGGTGTTGTATTAATAAATTTTGGAGGTTGTGATAGATCAGATAAATATTGTTGACGAACTCTAGCAGTAAAGTTCTACCAAAAAAAAAGAAAACAAATAAATCAGTAGTCTACATATCAATCAAAAATATTCAATATATTTGAGGACCAATGACGAATATGAAATGAAACTTTTATTGGTTTAATTCTACTAATAATTGTACTTAGATCTCTACATATATGTGAACTTCGTGATTGTGTAATACGAAGTTTATTTTATACTACAAAAGCCACGAAGGAAAAAACCAACTGAAGATTTTATGCCATGGAATCATAAAAGCAACGGCTTAGTGAAGCATGGTGAATTAAGTGTGCAATTAACAAGACTAAATACATGTACTACAATAATATGCACAACAAGGATGCGAAATATTTTAATTATACTCATACATATGTAGAAATGTCATCGATAAAGCTAATTTGATAGATGACAAAATAGTTGACTTGTTTGAATTAAAAGCAATAGGTAAAACAATTTTAACTAAAAATTAATAAAGGTAGAAAGACTTCAAGACAGTGTCAGTCAGTCAGTATCAACGTGGAACTTCGTACGTACGTACATCAGTTCGAGTTGCCATACCACATTAGTACAGAGATTCAGTTATCGATTCAAATCCCGTAGTGGAAGAGGTAGCGATAGGGAACATTAGGGTTTGATGATGTTATTTAAGGAATATAGTCCAGTGGAATAGATTTGGAAAGAAAATAAAGGACATGAAGAATTCAGAAGATTAGAGTTTGAGAGAACACAGGGAGTGGATGCACCTGCGTCATTGCAAACGATTTTGAGCCATGTCATTCAAGGTCTCCAACCATCGGTTGCTATCATCTCGCGGTCCCCAACCAGGTAGTCTACATCTACCAACATGGCTCAGTCCACTTGTCAGTGACTTCATGGATTTGTGCCATGTTTTGGTCTGGCCGCCCCTAACTTTCTTCCAACCTACTCCTACACCAGAAAACATCGCACGTCGGGGCAGTCGGTAGTCGGGCATGCGCAACACATGTCCTATCCATCTCAACTGATTAAGTTTTACTACTTCATCAATTGATTCACCATCCTTACCTAGTACCTGTTTCCTAACAACTGAGTTGCTTACTCGGTTGTCCCAGGATATACGAGCAATGTTTCGAAGACATCTATGGTCGAATACTAGTGACCTACGATTATCCTCTACTCTTACTGGCCATGTTTCACTGCCATAAAGTAGGACAGAACGAACTGCTGCGCAGTAAACACGTCCTTCGATTGATAGACGGATATCTCGCCTACGCCACAAATGACGCAAGTTGGCAAAAGCTAGTCGAGCCTTCTGTATCCGTACTGAGATTTCGTCACACACCAGACCACAAGGGCTGATGAGACTTCCAAGATAAGTGAAGCGGTCGACGTGCTCAACTACTTCACTCCCTATCACTAGTTCGGGTGGCGGTGAAACCCAATCCTGAAGTAACATCTTGCATTTCGAGGGAGAAAGTCGCATGTGTTGGGGTATTCAGAAAATACCCCAGAAATTATCTAATGCTATTCCTGAATGAGAAGTAGTGTCATTTCCCCATTGGTCAACATTCTTCCAACGTATCATCTCCTTATTGGTCAATATTTATTTGTGTCATTTCCTGAAGGTTAAATCTTGTACAAATGTTACTTTCTATTTATGGTACGATGTAGTCTGTTCGTTTGGTATATAAACAGTGTATGTTTGAAATATAACGATTCATATCTCTGAGGCTGAGACTTGTGTTCTGGACTCAATTGGCTGGGCTAGACAGGGAAGCAGGACCAATCAGAGCTCTAGGCTGCTCGGTCGTATTTTGTGCGTCACTGTTTCGATCGATAATAGGCTGCTCTCTAATAGGCGGATCACACGTTATAACAGCATGCCGAACATGTCTGCATTGTTGCTTAGAGTGGTCAGCAGACTCTGTAGTTTGTCAGCGTCTTCACCAAATAGAACTATGTCATCGACATATTCTAAGTCAACAAGGGAATCTCCCGGTAGAAGTTCAACTCCTAGAAATTTAGATGAGGAAAGTGTCATCTCTAAAAGGACGTCAACAACAAAGTTAAACAAGAATGGAGAGAGTGGACAGCGCTGAAGAAATGAAATTAGTTTAAGTAGTACTTATTAGGTTTGAAGATTTTTAAATGTACATTTACCTTACATCATACATTGTGATATGCGGTCTTAGGTACGGATGTTTAATGGTTCTATACTGTGAGGAAACATATATAAGGAACCCTTTGGGTTTTCAATAATTCTTCATCCAGCATTATTCGTAGTAAACTAATTTTATGAACTATCTTTCAGATGTTAGCAGGGTTTTGGAATTTTTTGTTGTCGGTATTCAGGACTACAACTGCTCAGTCTCTGTTGCGATATGTGCACAGCGGATTTACGCGAAAGTGTTATGTAATAAGTTGAGTATTTGAAGAAGGTACTAGGTTTGCCATGGTGTGTACATCTAGTTTGTGGGTCCCCAAAAGAACGAAACGCCAGGCACTTTACTAAATATACGGGAAATATCTTTCAGTTCCTTTACGCGGTTTGCATACAAGTACTCTTTTATCAAGGAATACACTTCATAGGGCAAATTTATTTAGTTTTATATAAACACTACCTACTTGCAGTTAATCTTTAGCAGACGGAAATAAAATTGGCGGACAATCAATATAAAAGAACAGTGGTAATTAATCATGATAGAAATAGACCACATTGTAATGTGATCACTAGAATTCGAACGACATTAAATGATTAGACAAACATGACATTTTGTTACTGATCAATGCTCAGATAAAGTAATTTTGACTTTCAAAAAAGATTCAATGTGACTGATAATTTGATGTTACTATGGCATGGAGGCTAACAGTGGAATACAAAATATTTGTATTTAGAACTCATTCACTGCGTTCCAATAAATGTATACGTTCAGACTAACTAGAATCTTATACATAAATTGTTTCAGACACTACGACACTATTTGTTTGGATATCAGTTTATGACAACAGTCTAAATTTTTCACCTTTTCTGTCAGTAATGTGTTTCGTTACATTGAATCAGTCAGTCAGTCAGCTACAACGTAGAACCAGACACATATACATCGGTCAAAGTTGCCATACCGCATTAGCACAGCAAGATGAAAACTGGATTCATAGGTGTAGTTAAGTCATGGTGGTAATATATAAAAAAAGGACTGCATATAATGACATGGTACGGGAAGAAGCGATTTTAATCTCTTAGTTTAAGGGAAGACAGTGAGTGTATACACCGACGCCATTGTGATAGATTCTGAGCCATGTCACCAAGTGACTCCAGCCATTGGTTACGATAGTCTCGCGGACCCCAACTAGGCAGTCTGAATCTCGCAACATGGCTCAGCCCAGAAGTTAGTGACTTCAAGCACTGATGCCACGTTTTGGTTTGGCCGCCCCTAACTTTCTTCCAATCATCCCTAACACCGGTTAGCATTGCGCGCCGTGGTAGTCGGTGTTCAGGCATACGCAACACGTGGCCCAACCATCTCAGTCGATGAAGATTCACAACCTCATCAACTGACTTACCATCATTCCCTAATACCCTGCCTCTAACCTCACTATTACTTACCCGGTGATCTCAGCAGATACCAGCAATATTTCTAAGGCATCTGTGGTCAAATACTAGTAGCTTACGAGTATCTTCTACTCTTAATGGCCATGTTTTACAGTCGTATATTAGAACGGAACGAACTACTGCGCAGTATACTCGTCCCTTAACTGACAGACAGATATCTCGCCTTCACCATAGATGACGTAAGTTGGCAAAGGCCAAACGAGCTTTTCGAATCCGTGCTGAGATCTCGTCAGACACCAACCCATTAGGGCTGATCAGACTTCCAAGATAAGTGAAGTTGTCAACGCGTTCGACTACTTCACTCCCTATCGTTAGTTCAGGTGTTGACGAAGACCAGTCCTGAGGCAACAACTTGCATTTAGAGGGAGAGAAGCGCATCCCAAACATTCTGGCATTGTTGCTTAGTGCAACAAAAGACTCTGTATTTTATCAGCGCCTTCACCAAACAGGACTATGTCGTCTGCGTTTCCAAGTCGATAAGTGGACCTCCTGGATAGGGGATCAATGCCTGAAAATTCAGTCAAAGAGAACGTTATTTCCAGCAGTAGGTCTATGATGAAGTTACACAAAAATGGAGATAGTGGACAGCCTTGTCGGACACCATTTGAGGTTGCAAAATCAGATGACAGTTCTCTATAGGCTCTGACTCAACTGGTAGTGTTTGAGTAAAGAGCCTTCACAAGGTTTATTTACTTCTGAGGTACGCCTTTCAATGACAAACACTGCCACAGAACCTCTCGGTCAACAGAGTCAAACGCTGCTTTTAAGTCAAGGAAGACCACCATTGTCGGACGCCGATAAGTATGCCTGTGTTCTAGAACCTGACAAATGGTGAATATGTGGTCGATGCAGCCACGACCAGGTCTGAAGCCAGCCTGATTTTCACGTGTTTGCAGTTCACGAGTCTTAGTTAGGCGTCCGATAATTATCGAGGCTAGTATTTTAGATACTATATTAGTCAAACTAATCCCTCTATGGTTGTCTCAGGATGAATCGCTTAATCGTGAAGTATTATTTATCATGAAGAATTATATGGGCCCCCAAACGCCCTGGTACGGCCGAGAGTAGGGAGAGTCCTCTCTCCTTCTCGAAATGCTCTCACATGGCCATGCGTATATAGCCTCTGCCAGGGAAGTCATACTCACTGCCTTCTCGAGGCGGGGGTGTTGTTTACAAAAATGAGAGGACGAAAAGCGAATGTCCGGCGCTTTAACCGGACTTCAAACCAATGGCGCACATGGGCTCCAGTATCCTGAGGGAACAAATGGCGTATGAACCAATCGTTGGTCACCGGCTACTATGGGACTGCATCTCTTTATGATACTCCACTGCCTTGTGGAACAGACCTTCAGGTCGAAGGCTCGGGGTGTGGCCCCCTAAGAAAACCATCTGCTTCGGTCTGGGCACCCGGGCAGTATCACAGCCCTCACACAAATCAAATGAGATTTGTGTAGCACATATGTATTTGGTGCCTCCTTGTACCAATATCTATGTGTTCAAATAAATAAATAAATAAATAATAAATATGGACATGATGAAAAGATCAATATTTACGAAAAATATCATGAATTTTCTTAAAAATGAAAATAACTAACCTGTAAATCTTGTAGATACTTCGATTTACTGCTTAGTTCATTAACTGATACATTTTGATATGAATCATATTCATTATGCATAGAACTTAAAATTTCATCTATTTTATTACTAATGGCTAGAAGAAATGGATTTAAAATGGAATGACACAAATTATTCAAATGATTTGCTGTTGATTCCGAGATTAACTGAAGTGGATTTTTGATTGGTGTTGTTGTTTCAATTGTGGTAGTCAGTGGAAAGGGTTCATTTAAAAATGTAGATGATTTATTATGTTTATGATTAATGTTAGATGTTGTTATTGTATTCAGATTATTCAATCGTTTATTAACAGTTAATTGTAAATTTGTTCCAAACTGACAGAGAAGGTTGACTAAATGTATATTATTCTGTTGTCCAAGTGTTTGTGAATCTGTCAATTGTACTGCACTAGTACCGCCCGTTGAAATTAAAGTTTCAGTTTTAGTTGCAAATAAAGCAATCAATTTATCTAAATTACGAGCAACCTAAGTTTATGGAAAGTTAGGTAACAAATACAAAAAGCAGTAATTTATATGTTTTTCTACTGATTAAATATTTAGTTAGACGACTCTCTAACTAATAATAATAATAATAATTACAACCTGGCCTCTCCGAGTTGAGGATGTTAGACGACTCTCTTTGTTCGATCATCGCTGTCTCCGAAGGATTGCTGACATCCAGTGGCAACACTATGTTAGTAATGAAGAGGTTTGGCATCGTGTGTTCGGGCACAGAGACGATAATGCAATTGGTGTCACCATCTTGAAGCACCGACTTCGGTGGCTTGGATATGTTCTACGAATGTCGTCTCAGAGAATTCCTCGTCGTGCATTATTTGCCGACTCTGGGACTGGTTGGAAAAAGCGGAGAGGTGGTCAGTGTATGACATGGTGTCGTGGTATGAAAGAAAGCTGCAAAGGGCTGGCTTGTGTTGGTCCTTCACGACTCCCTGGCTGGGGTCCGAGAGACGGTGTAACACAGTGGCTAGAGACGTTATCAGATATGGCTAAGAATAGAAGCCAGTGGCGATCCTGCTGTAACCTTCTTTTACTTTCTTCATAAAAAGTGGTTGTGTCTTCCTTAACTGAAAGATTTCTTCTGATTGAACCTTTTCGTTTCCCCCATTATTGTTCTCTCTGTTTTTTTTATAACTCTCTACGTTCCTTACCTCTTTTTTTCCCTTCTCTTTAAATCCTCACTGTTTTGTGTGGCGCATACATATTTGGTGCCCCCTTGTACCAATATTTATGTGTTAAAATAAATAAATAAATAAACATATTTAGTATTAAGCAGACAAATGCATTGTTTAATGTAAACTGTTTAATTTGACCTGATGATTAGTAGAGTCTATCAGTGTTACACAAGATCGTTTTTGTAGATAATATGATAATAATTGTAATGTAAGCAATATAAACACTTGATTTTGGCAAGCAATAAAACCTATAATGAATGCTTCCGCATTTTCAGAGATCGTGAGTATAAGTGTCTGCGTTATAATGACGGTTTTTAGAGAAGATCAAATCTTAATAACGGAATTATCAAATAACTTTTGTGTGGAAATCGTTTCATGGCTTGATTTATCATTTTGTACGAGAATATACTCATATGCTTACCATTGATTCAAGCACGTAGAAAGAGTATAACGTATGAAATACAATTTGCATCAGTTAAAATTGCTATACTTCAAAACAGTACAGTGATATGGTCAAAAAGAAAATTACAAAACGTTCCTAACTTGAGTATATCATAGATAATTAAAAATAAAATTGAAAAAGGTATTATTGTCAGGAGTTATTTTAGCGACCAAGACTAGATAGACAAGCATACAAGCGTAGGATTCCTACATATAATACATTGATTTAAGCTGTTGTAACTCAATTGGTAATTAATTAATCGTTCCATACACACTTACTTTTCGTCGACTTAATCAAGGATAAAAATATGTCAATGAACAATTAATGTCTCTGAGAAAACACAGCAGAAGCCAGATCTAGTGAGTTATTATCGAGAGCCCTAAATAATATTATCACTTTGCAAAAATACTACTAATTTGTTAGATAAAACTAACTCAAAAAGATCCACTAAGTACGACAAAAAACCATTTATCTAAATAAGTGTTTCGTTATTAATGGTTAGCTTCGATATCAACTACCCAAAATTTTAGTGATAAGCTTTGATTTGTGGAGTCAAATAAATTATAAATGGAACAGCTACCATCAATCGAATGACGTAAGGATTGTGATCCATCGTGAATGAAGGTTAGAAGGGTGAACTATTGGATCTTAATCTCAACTTTAAAAAAAAGCCACTCACCTTATATAAAAGGTCATGATGAACAGTAACATAGGCTAATTCATTTGCAGCTGTTTGTATGATATCATTTAATTCATTTGTATCTGGTCCAGCTGTTGTAGATGTTGAAAAAGCCAAAGTTACTCTATCAAATAAACGTGATACACTGCGAGATAAATAAGCTGTTTCAAATGGATGCAGTGCTCGAACTAAACATGAAGGTAGTTGTTCCAACATAGTTTGTTGATGAATAGGTGATAATGTATATTGATCATAATTACTATTATTAGATAATTCATTTGAAAGCGTACTGGTTACACGACGTTCCAAATCTAATATTAATTTTAATAATTTCGGATATTCTCCTTCAAGCAATTCTTTAATTACTGGTGATTGATTGGAAACAGCAGAAAGTTTAGTGGCCAGTTGATCTGATGCCCAACCAAGGAATCCTTCATTTGAAATCAGTGAATTACGAATATCTGCGCGATTATCGTTAATTTGTTTGTGAAATATTGAATTGTCGATAGATGATGAGTCGGAGTTATCTTCTATGATAAAAAACGTGCAAAAAAATAGTTAACCATCATACTGTACAAAATCTTTACGAACAAATATGGTTAAAACTTCTTAGTACATTTAAACATTAATAGAAAAATGAATCAATTAACGAATTTGTAGTAAACAGATTGCACCTTTCTAGTTTTGCCACAAATTGATGTCAGTAGAATAAACGAGAAATATAAAACAATGACGTACAGCTATTTCGTTCTAAATTTTTAGATGCAGAAAACATTAATTATATTATTTGGAATCTCAGGATTCATAAAAAGTATTTAGACATTGCGCATTATCCAAACAGCTGGTGATTTCAAATATAGACGGCTAGTTACAAAGCTTAGTGATTGCAAACCACTTAGCCGATCCCTAAGTCAGTCGGACAGTCAAACGCAATGCAGAATCTGGTATGTATGTACATCGATTCAAGTTACCATAATCTATTAACACAGATATAATATTGTCAGTCCAAATGCCAGAGTAGTAGAGGTGGTATTTATTTTATTTGAACACATAGATATTGGTACAAGGAGGCACCAAATACATATGTGCTACACAAATCTCATTTGATTTGTGTGAGGGCTGTGATACTGCCCGGGTGCCCAGACCGAAGCAGATGGTTTTCTTAGGGGGCCACACCCCGAGCCTTCGACCTGAAGGTCTGTTCCACAAGGCAGTGGAGTATCATAAAGAGATGCAGTCCCATAGTAGCCGGTGACCAACGATTGGTTCATACGCCATTTGTTCCCTCAGGATACTGGAGCCCATGTGCACCATTAGTTTGGAATCAGGGTTTTCCAAATCCCCTAAGTGGACTCTCCGTGTCCACCAACCCGGTTAAAGCTCCGGACATTCACCACGAGAAGGCAGTGAGTAGGACTTCCCTGAGAGAGGCTATATACGCGTGGCCATGTGAGAGCATTTCGAGAGGGTGAGCGGACTCTCCCCACTCTCGGCCGTACCAGGGCATTTGGGGGCAGTATGAGTGCTGATTGGAAAGATTAGGGATCGGAGATACGATTCAAGAAAATATAAATCAGTTAAATTTTTTAAAAAAATTATAAGGAATTCAGAAACTTTGAATCTGGGTGGAGACAAAGGGTGAATGTACCTATGCCATCGCAAACGATTTTGAGCTACGTCATTTAAAGTCTAATCACTGGTTACGATGATCACCCGTACCCCAATCAGGTAGTCTGCACCTGTCAACATGGTTCAGTCCAGTTGTTGATGACTTCATAGACTGATATCACATTTTGGTTTGGCTGACTCTAATTTTCTTTCAACCTACTCATACACCAGAGAACATCCGTCGATGTAGCAGTGGTTGGGCATACGTAACACATACACCAACAAACTGAGTTGATGAAGATTTATTATCGTTAAGGTGTAAGTGGAGACTATATTGTGTTATGAGCACTTGACTTTCAAACAATGGGTTGTACGATTACGCTCCACTTCACTTGCTTAGATTCGAGGAGTTGGATAGTTTGCATAGCTCCTAAGCAATACATACAAGAGCCTGTACTTTGTTGCCTAATCACATTAAAGTCGATATTTCATTAAATCATTTGATTAGTAAGCTTAAAACCCGAGATATATCATTCATATTGACTACTAAAAAGTCCCATTACATATCAGAACATATATCTAACACAATCATTGACTTCTAACAATTATTGGATGAAAATTACAACTAAAAATCTTAGAAAATCTTATTGATTAATAACTCCCCGAGTAAAAAAGAAAGCAATGACACGAACCGCATGTTATGATATTTCATGGAATTTATTGATTATTTGTACATTAAATCAGCTTAACAAAACCATGAGTAAATATTCCAACCTCAATATAAATATTTGACTTACCACTATTTAAAACAATCGTTATATAATAATCATGTTGATTTCATGAAAGTTTGAATAAAACATCTAATTAGAGTAACGATCCAACCTAATTACCTTAAGAGATTCGGGTTTTTAAACTGCATTTATTGTTTTAATGATAATTTACGATTTCTATTGTGAATTATAACTAGTTTAATAATAAACTTCAGCAAATGGTTGTATATATGTGACAAAGTAAATGATTTTTATAAGGAAATAAGTAGAAAACAAAATTCATTATATTATTACTAAATATCAAAGAGTTAATCTCAAATATGGTACTGAAGGATTCTATAAAAAGGAACAATAAATGATTGATGAAATTTTCCAAGTGATAATACAAACCTTGACGAGTCAAAGTTTCTTTAAAATTCGCTGAAGCAAAAATTAACAAAATTGAAGAATATTTTTCAGAATTTTTATTATTTTGCCAGTCGATAAGCATTTCGTGTATAAGTAATTCAGCTAGACTAGGATATAATTCAGAAATATATTGATCTAAACGACATATACTTGTCATACATACATCAATATGTGTTTCACGTTGTTTCATTAAAGTTAGACCAAGTAGACGACTACAAGAAATAAGTTGTTCCATTTTATCAATAGTTCCATCTAAGCTAGTCCATACAGCAACATGAAAAGCAGCTGCTTGACCACCAACTGCTGGTAATGAGGCTCTACCTGAAAAAAGAACAAAACAGAAAATGATATACTGTAGGTTAATTAACACAAAAAAACACGCGATGTTACCTAGATTGTAATTTGCACTAAACACATTTGTCAATGACATTCAGTCAATCAAATGTATACCAATGATATCATTAAGTATGATCTAAACTAGAGACTGATGCATTCGACTGTGTTACTCTCCACTCATTGACCAATCACATCAGGACTCAGATGAAGTCATCAAATCCATATACTATAAATTATAATTGTATATTTCTATATCACTTACTCCAAACTATACACTTTGACTATTATTAAACATTTTCTCCTCCTACTTCATGTTCTGATGTATTTTATTTATTTCATTTTACATTAGGAACTATGTCGATTTTTTTACTTAATTAGTCTTCATTTCTATGGTAAAGGTGGTCGTTGGCTAAGCCTAATTAATAAACTTGACTACTCTACTGTTTAAGAATAAGTCTTTTAGGAAAATCCTTACTTTATAGAATTCATATTTACTAATGTATGTCAGAATAAATGGATATATTTTATAAATTTAAGAATAATTTTACTGAATTAAGAAAATTAGAAATTATATCCTATCATATGCCAGATATGTTGCTAAATTCAGAGGCCAGAATAAAATAATTGTATTATAATAAATTTTAAACAGAATCTAAAATTTACCTGGACCAGAACCTCCTTGTTGAATTTTTTGACGTGTTCGCATACGTTGAGTTAATGAATCTATATCAACGGAAGAGGATAGTACAGAAACAAATTCTGATTTCCATTTAGTCACCAGTTCATGAACTACATCCATTAACATATTTAAATGGTAGAAAACCTAAATGACAGTACAAAGTTTTACAGAAAAGACAGTAAACGTCAAATATAACAAATATGAATTGACAGTTTATTGTTGGAATACGGAAGAGTTATCATGTTAGCTCAAGAACCAACTAGACGACATCAAATGTTAGTTTGTGATGAAATTCGAGCTATACAAAATTTCCAAAAAACTCATTTGACTTAATAATAGTCGTGTAGACAACACTAGTGATGAACTTATTTAGATTCTAGTGAGAAGATGTCATCTATGACATCAACTAAGTATTCATGTATGTGACAATAACTCATCGATGATAGTTAAATTAGTTTAAATGAACCCATCCACTAGCTACTTGGGTAAGGAACCACACTTTAGGTGTGAGGGCTAACGATACAAGATAATCGCCTAAACCAAGACAGAAAGGGTTTTGGACCCGAAACCTGGTGGCAAAAAGTCGAGTGCCTTAATCGCTAAGCTACCACTCCACCATCTATGATAATGGATGTAGAAGATCGAACTATATTTTCGACTCATTAAAGTCAGAAATATGAACCATCAAATTCCAACTTTACGGTTAGATAGTAATATGGTAGATGGGACAAAACATCACCGTCCTGGCTAGAAAAGGTTGACCATAAAAATGTCACACCTCACCTTACCCCACGGATTTCCGTCTCCGGCGGTAAGGCCCTTTGAAGAACGGAGCTAACATATTAAAAACCTCCCACAAAAAGGCCGTGCGCGACAGGCCTCAAGCAGTTGTCCCTTGGGCTCTGCGGTCACGCACCCAGGTCGCTAAGACCAACACTAATCCGATTTCCTTTTCAGGTTCCTCAAGAAATACCCTTCCACGGTGTGGGCAACCGGGAAGTGACATCAGCCCTCATACCCGTAACAGCACACGAGACCAAGTTGGTCACATTCAAATCCTTCCTACACCTCCTAATAACTCTCTTATCTCCACGACCAACCCTTCTCACGTCCCTTTATCATCTCGCCCCGCTAGTGCAAACGATTCGAGTACACGGAATGTTATTCCTGGTCTCCTGAAACCACGCTCCAAACTACACGTAGGAGCTTTCAACGTCCGAACACTGTGCCAAATAGGACAACAGGCTTGCTTAGCTAGGACATTAAATTCTCGCGCCATCGATGTATGCTGCTTCTCTGAAACGCGCATACAGGATCCGAGTAGTGTAATTCATTTGACCTCGCCATGTCAAAGTAACGAACCAACTCGATTTACGCTTCGTGTATCTGGAAGCCCTGATGCTGCTTCCCGTGGCCTCGCTAGCGTAGGTATAGCATTGAGTCCTAGGGCAGAACTAGCTCTCTTAGACTGGATCCCAGTAGACAGTCGTCTGTGCGCTGTCCGATTAAACGGAACAGTAAGGACTCGGAAAGATAGGGACACTCGTCGTTGCCTGTTCGTCGTCTCTGCCTACTCTCCCACTGACTGCAGCTCAGATGATGTAAAAGATGAGTTTTACAGAAAGCCTTCCGACCTTCATCGAAAAGCTGGGTGTTCAGATGCAGTAATAGTGGCTGGTGACTTTAATGCTCAAGTAGGTAAACTAAGCGAAGGGGAAAGACATCTGGGTGGATCCTATGGTGTAGCGGCTCAAAGAACAGATAATGGCGACTGTCTGTTGCAGCTATGCTCAGATAACCGCCTGTTTCTTGCAAACACTAACTTTAGGCATAAGGAAAAACACCTTTTGACATGGCGACCCCCTAATTCGTCCCAACGTTGGACCCAAATAGATCACATCGCTATCAGACACCGATGGAGGGGTTATATAGAAGACTGTCGCTCATTCTGGAGCACATGCTTAGACTCAGATCATGCTCTAGTGCGAGCGCGTATTTGTCTACGTCTTACTGGACGTAGGAAAGATGGTACAGGGTAACCCCTTAGGGTCCTACTTAATGATAGTCAAGCTAAGAGTATATTTCAGGAACTAGAAAAAGTTAGGCAGCCATGTAAGTGATGCCCACCCCGAGGCAGCGTGGAACGACATCCGAAAAGCTGTAGAAACAGCAGTGATGCCTGCAAGTACGGTAAACCACAAGGTTAGGGAGAAACATTGGATCTCATCAGCATCTACCGCACTGATAGATGCTCGAAAACTCATTCCATCTGGCTCTGAACATAACGAAGAGTGGAGTCAGCTTAAGCGTAAGCTGACTAGAAGCTCATGCAATGATCGTGAACAGTGGTGGGTAGCGAAAGCAAGAGAGATGAAAAGGCAGCGGCAATAGGTGACAGCAGACAACTATTCAGACTTGTTAAGGAAACCGGGATTAGGAACCCAACTGTTAGCGAAACTATCTCAGAGAAAGATGAACATACTATTTATTCTCAATCCAGGAGATTGGATCGATGGACAGAACACTTTAGGGATCAGTTCAACTGGCCTTCAGTCACACTTCGGTTTCCCACGATCTCCAATCTACCTGAATGGCAAGTTAATGTAAGTTTTCCGACTCTTTACGAAGTTGGAAAAGCTATACGAAATCTGAAGCGTGGGAGAGCAGCAGGCCCTGACAGGTTTACCCCTGATATCTTTAAGGATGGTGGTCCAGTATTAGCAGCGAGATTGACTGAGGTCTTAGCTAGAATCTGGGAACTGGACGTAATCCCATCTGACTGGTCTCAATCACTGATTGTGCCAATCTATAAGAAAGGACAAAAGTCTTCTTGTGACAATCACAGAGGAATTAGTTTGACTAATATAGTGTCTAAAATATTAGCTTCAATAATACTTCGACGTCTAACCAAAGCTCGTGAAATGCAGACTACAGAAAACCAGGCCGGTTTTCGACCTGGACTTCGTTGTATAGATCAAATATTCACACAACGTCAGATCTTAGAACATAGACACACATCCAGACGCCCCACAATGGTAGTATTTTTCGACCTTAAGGCGGCATTTGACTCTGTTGATCGTGAGGTTCTATGGCAGTGTTTGTCACTGAAAGGAGTACCAAAGAAGTACATTAACCTTATAAAGGCTCTCTACTCGAACACAACTGGTCGAGTGAGAGCTAATGGCGAACTGTCATCAGAACTGATTACCTCAAGTGGTGTTCGTCAGGGCTGTCCACTCTCTCCATTCTTGTTTAACTTTGTTGTTGACGTCCTTTTAGAGATGACACTTTCCTCATCTAAATTTCTAGAAGTTGAACTTCTACCGGGAGATTCCCTTGTTGACTTAGAATATGTCGATGACATAGTTCTATTTGGTGAAGACGCTGACAAACTACAGAGTCTGCTGACCACTCTAAGCAACAATGCAGACATGTTCGGCATGCGATTTTTTCCCTTGAAATGCAAAATGTTGCTTCAGGATTGGGTATCACCGCCACCCGAACTAGTGATAGGGAGTGAAGTAGTTGAGCACGTCGACCGCTTCACTTATCTTGGAAGTCTCATCAGCCCTTGTGGTCTGGTGTGTGACGAAATCTCAGTACGGATACAGAAGGCTCGACTAGCTTTTGCCAACTTGCGTCATTTGTGGCGTAGGCGAGATATCCGTCTATCAATCGAAGGACGTGTTTACTGCGCAGCAGTTCGTTCTGTCCTACTTTATGGCAGTGAAACATGGCCAGTAAGAGTAGAGGATAATCGTAGGTCACTAGTATTCGACCATAGATGTCTTCGAAACATTGCTCGTATATCCTGGGACAACCGAGTAAGCAACTCAGTTGTTAGGAAACAGGTACTAGGTAAGGATGGTGAATCAATTGATGAAGTAGTAAAACTTAATCAGTTGAGATGGATAGGACATGTGTTGCGCATGCCCGACTACCGACTGCCCCGACGTGCGATGTTTTCTGGTGTAGGAGTAGGTTGGAAGAAAGTTAGGGGCGGCCAGACCAAAACATGGCACAAATCCATGAAGTCACTGACAAGTGGACTGAGCCATGTTGGTAGATGTAGACTACCTGGTTGGGGACCGCGAGATGATAGCAACCGATGGTTGGAGACCTTGAATGACATGGCTCAAAATCGTTTGCAATGACGCAGGTGCATCCACTCCCTGTGTTCTCTCAAACTCTAATCTTCTGAATTCTTCATGTCCTTTATTTTCTTTCCAAATCTATTCCACTGGACTATATTCCTTAAATAACATCATCAAACCCTAATGTTCCCTATCGCTACCTCTTCCACTACGGGATTTGAATCGATAACTGAATCTCTGTACTAATGTGGTATGGCAACTCGAACTGATGTACGTACGTACGAAGTTCCACGTTATTACTGACTGACTGACTATACCGGTTCCCTCCAGGATCCAAAGTTAGCATTTGCCTCGTGTTGTAGTTTGATTTCCGTAATGTATGTCTTATCCACCCCCATCGTCTTTCCCTAATATCCTCTTCGGATTGAAGCTGGTTTGTTCTTTCCCACAGTAGGTTGTTGCTAATGGCATCAGGCCAACGGACATTAAGTATCTTACGTAGACAATAAGCACTTGTACCTTTATGATGATGGTTGCAGTAGTTCTTCAAGGTACAACTCCGTACAGGAGAACTGTCTAGACGTTCGTATTGAGGATTCTGACTTTGATGTTGGTTGACAGTTGTTCTGAGTTCCATATGTTCTTCAACTATAGGAATGCTGTCCTCGTTTTGTCAGACCCTCCTTATTCGTCGATGATGCTGTCCACGTATGTGAAAGTTTCCACCTCTTTCAGAGCTTCTCCATCAAGTGTGATTGGGTTGATGTTTTCCGTGTTGCATTTGAGGATCTTGATTTATTCCTTGTGTATGTTGAAGACTACTGATGCAAAGGCTTCTACTACACTGGTTGTCTTCATCTGCATTTGTTGGTGTGGATCGGATAGATGAGCTAGGTTACTTGCGAAGTCCAAATCGTCTAGTTGTATTCGAACTGTCCATTGCATTGCGTGCTGCCCCTCAGATGCCTGTGTAATTCTCACATTTATTTAGATCTCCTTTCCAGTCTGTTCGCGGCACTTGTTCCTCCTCACAAATCTTCCTGAATAGAATGTGGAAGATGATAGCAGCTACTTCTATGTCTGATTTCAGTGCTTCAGTTGATTTATTGTCAGGTCCTGATGCTTTCACACCCTTGATTAGTTTGATGGCCATCCTGATTTCTGCGATCGTTGGTGGAGTGACAGTTATAAGAAGATCTGCAGGTGCTACTTCGATGTTTGTTGGATTCAATGGAGTTGATCTATTCGAAAGTTCTTCAAAGTGTTCCACTTCTCTGTTCCACTGTCTTTGTCCTAGAACGGTATTTCTGGTTTACTATATTTCCCTACCAGTTGCTTTGTCGTGTCATATATTTGTCTCATATATTCCTTCTGTTGCAGCTTTTCCCGCCGTCATTGTTAGGTCTTCCACGTATTTCTGCTTATCGGCTCTAATTGTCTTCTTTACTTGCTTGTTTGCTTCAGTGTACTTAGGTTATGCCTTGGCTTGTTCTGTTCTTGTTCAGCTGTTGCTAATTTTAGTCTTCTTGTTCTTTCTTTCTTGAATCTTGTGCAGGGTTTCAATGGAAACCTATTCCTTATGATGATGCTTCCTGCGACCCAGGACCTCCTGACATGTTGAAGTTATTGCTTCGTTGACCCCTTTCCAGTTGTCCTCCATAGTAGTTTCTTGTTCTCTGAGTAGATCTTGTAAGGCTTGCAACCTGTTGTTGAGAGCTATCTTGGATTCGTTGAGTTATTCAGTATGTCGAAGGAAAGCTGCATTGAATCTTTGTAATGCTACTTGTCCAGTTGTCCAATGTTTGTTTAGCTTCAGTCTTATCTTGGCAACCACCAGGTGGTTATGTGAAGCTATGTCAGCTCCTCTCCTGTTTCTCACGTCTTTCATTGACCTTCTGAATTTTTTGGTGATACATATGTGATTGATCTGGCCCTGCGTAGTGTGGTTTGGTGAGACCCATGTAGTTTTGTGTATGCTTTTGTTTGGAAATATTGTGCCGCCTATAACCACTTTGTTGAACTCACATAAGTTTGCGAATCCCTCACCATTCTCATTCCTTTCTTCTAGTCCACGTCATCTCATGATAGCTTCGTACCCGGTGTAGTCCGTTCCGACCTTGGCGTTTAGGTCTCCCATCAGGGTGGTCAAGTCCTTTCCTTGGTACTTCTCTACTTAAAGGTTATTCTTAAAAAAATAGTTATTTAAGCAATTAAATGTACATTTTTGTTCTCTAGATCCTAGTAAATAATATTTTCTTATAACAAAATACGATATTTTCGAGAAGAAAAATATAAAAAGTTTAGATAAGTATAAACAGAAACCAATAGTTATACTATATAGATTGTAAGTAAGAACTACAGCCTGTAAAGCTTACCACAGAATATTTCAAAATGGAATTGAACTGAAGCTTTAATGTGACTTTAACTTGAAAATAAACCCATAGTAAATCAATGGACAATACGGAGTAGACAATATATTTAAATCAACAGTTTTATCATGATGATTGAAATACAAAGTTTTACAGAGAAACGTAAACCGGTTTTTCGCAAACAAAATTGTTCAAATTCTTTGAGCATATCTGCATGCGAATAACGAACTTGTGGTTGAGTCAATCACATATTACCACACGTCGTGAAATTAGTTTATCCATTGAGGAAAGTGAGATAATGGTTAAATTATTAGCATAATGAATTATTTATTTATTAAAAATCATCAACACTATTACTAATAAGGATATCCTAAATCGTTTAACTATGGATAACTGTTGTAACTCTACAGAAAAAGTGTTGGAGTATGGAAGTAAAAATCATTTTTTGGTGAAAAATAAGATGAGTACCCTCTTGCTCACCATATAGAATCTAATCTAAGATGCAAGAGACCGCAAAATAATGTCTAGTAACACAAACAACACCATTTTCAATGAGATCTGACGTGAACATTGTGTTGTAAGCTACAAAACACTACAGAATTTGACCTGTTGAACTAACCCAGTACCAGGTGTGGCTATGTGGTTGTATTTAATCATTGTTAAACTTGCATACTAATATTTCATATTTACTTAGGAAAGTTAATATAATAGGGAGGGACAAAAAAGAAACAATTTACCTGTAGTCCTGTAGCTAATTGAGTTTGATCAGATAACTCATAAGATGAATTGATTAGGCTCCATGCTTGTGACACCATACTCTCTCGAACTTGAACTAATGCACGATTATAGGACTCCAATACATGGATTCCTTCCCATTCCATATTATTAAAAATGAAGTTTAACTCATTTACATACATTGCACATTGACATAAATCTTTAGACCTACCTATTTAAAGATAATGGTGATAATAATGATGTTATACGAAGAGCGAAATACTCACTTTGAATTCGTTTCATTAGTGTTGCTACTCGAGATATATTACGAAGAATAGCACATGTAATGTGTAGATTTTTGAAATGAGTTACATTTGTGGATAATGTTTCATGGGGAATATCTATTTTCTTTTTAACTTTTGATAAAGAAATTGACAAGTTTCGTATTTTATCTTCAACTGCCTGCAAAACATTTTGTAAATTATCAATGTCAGAGGCTCTTTTAAACAGATCGACGTGATTATCAGCAACATGCTGATGAATCAGAGTAGCTAACCTGTGAATGATAGAAAAATAAACAGCATAACGCTTACAGCAGTTCAAAAAAGTGACAACATTTGCTTAGGAAAGAACAAGAATGAGCATACTTATTACCACAATGGCAAAAATGAAGTAATTTAATTTCACAAGTAGTGGTCGCATCTACATACCAATTTTTATATTCAAACAGGCTTTACACAATCGAAGTATCATAAATGAAGTGATATGAATAAAATGAAATTTTGTGAGTTTTAAAATAGAATATCGACACAATAATTTCCTGGAAAAAGAACGAAGTAGATAAGAATGTTGTATGTAAAGAAACATCAAGGATTCAAGGACAACTACTCGTAATGGACTGCTTCAAAAGTATAGTATAGTATAAAGATCCCAAAAGTCCTATTTCAACTATTTTAACCTGGTGGAATTGACGTGTTCAGCAAATGTTAGTACTGTTGAACTGCGAAATTCTCGCTTCCTATGAAATAAAATGAATATCAGGAAACTTAGAAACTTAGTTCTGTGCTTACTGATACTTACTGACAAGTAAAATGCTCATTGAGTCAGAACAGTGGCATCACAGAACTGGAAATCACTTAATCCTAGTAAGTTCTATTCAAAGTTCCTGTTTTAGGTTTAAAAGAAAGGAAAAATCCTAAAAATAATCAGTTTAGCAGTTTCATTGTTTTGTACTCGATTTAGACACACTGTAAGATTATTAAATCCAGATTTACATTAAAAACGCGGCGGTCCTCTAACAGTTAAGCATGAATTCCAGATATGATGTGATTTAATGAAGAAAATCCTCTACTTGTTAACTGATACAACCATTTTAGAGCAGTTTTGAAGATATGAGTCGAACTAAAAATATAACAGAAAACTGGAGTATGTGATGTGCGGGATTTGGATTTTATTGTTCACTTAGTGCCACCCCACTCAAGATGAAATTTTAGAAGTTACTTGAGATTCATTAAGACCGAACAAGGCTTTTAGCTCAGATGATAACGCCAATTCAATGATTTTAATTAAACTGTTAGATTTTGCGATCAACTATTTCACAGAAAATGCAAATATTTACGTTAAGACATGTTTTCGAAGAGATCAAAAAACATATTTGATTGGTTGCCTTAGTCATTAAAACGTTGGATGGTATTTCCTATAGCTCAGAAAATATTATGAGATGGTTACACTAACTACACAATTAGTTGATGCAAGGATTTATCGGCATCTTTCAGGAATATGTTGATATATTCTCCTAGACCACTGAACATTATCTGAATATTTCTGAACAAAATATTAAATTTACCTTTGCTATAATTAACCAAGTAGTTTTTTTTTTCATTTCCAAAATTTTATTAAGAAGAGACATAATACATTCCGAGTTACATGCAACTAAATAATTTATTATGTGCCTACTTACTCTCTTATTCGGTTATCTATTGTACATAAAACATTTGAAACTTTATTAGTACCAATAATATAAGAGACGAACAATCTAGCATCGAAGTCAGTATTAGAGAAAATTTCCAAGTTTTCATCCATTGGTTTGCAAATGCTTATTATCTGAAAGGCAAATAAGTGTTAGTTAAGAAATGAGAAGACATGCTATGAAGTTTTTGGTGTTTGGATTTTATGAACTAGTACAGCGTGTAAAACAGAACATTTAGCTCTATAATATGAAATAATTTGAATACAGAGTATCTCGAATGAAACATTTTAAATATATAATTACGATACCTGAAGTGACGTAAGATCAACTTAAAAACGCATTCGAAATAAATATAGAGCGCAGACATTTAAACACTTGATGAGTTTTTATCAGAAGGGGTTGTGTGGAGATTTTTGAAATTTCACTGGTTGAAATCATGAGTCAATTGAAGCTAGACCACCTTGGAAAACCTGGAAGCACTGGACGGCCGTTTCGTCCTAGTGTGGGACTCCTCAGCATTGCGCATCCACGATCCCGCTACCCGCGAGTTTCGAACCCAGGATCAATCAGTCTCGCGCCATGCGCCTAACCAACTAGACCACTGAGCCGGCATCCAACGGTGTTAATGTCTAACTTCAACCAATCCACGAAGTTGCGCTGCCGTACACCATTGTCTTCAATGAGCTGCTATCTCACAACAGATCTGGTTGAACTCCACTGGTAACACCTTGTAGTCGTTTGCAGATGGATAAATCTTAATTTTCTTCGTCAAATTTTAATATTTTATTTCAGTCGACCAGTCACTACGTGGAACCCCTACGTATGTACATCAGTTCGAGTTGCCATACCCCGTAAGCACAGAGAAATGAAGTTTTTGGGCCAAATCCCAGAACGGTAGAGGTAGCAACAGGGTCAGTGGTAATAATAAAAATTAGGCTCCGACAATAGGGCTAGAAAAGAAATCTTTCTGTTTACATCGTGGTCGTTTTTAAAAGATCCAACTGGTGCTGCTTTTGTATTCGTTGTAGTAAGCTTTACCGGGTCTTCTCCGGATTTTTCTAAGATCTTCATCTTGGTCATTTTTGTTAGTTTACATTGTTAAATAATCGGCTAAATTTTGCAGTGTTTCTGCTAGGAGTGGAAATAACAGGAAGTTTAAAAATGATTTAATAGTGATTAAAAATCTAGATATATAACTAAATACCACTCCAAAAGCCTTGCTAAAGTAATGTTTATGAACACTTTTTCGCCCTTATAAAATGATAGAAAAGCATTCTTTATGAAAAGTATACCCAAGAGGTATAGTTTTTTTACATTCAAGTATCGATTTTCGAGTGATTGAAGGAGCAAGATTCGTTGGAGTTACGGTAAAAATGGAAAGTTAGTTACACAAATGCCTCGTAAAAGCTCCACATCAATGCCTTATGGTCAAATCCATAACGCATCACAGTACAACAGCAATTATAGGTAATTTATCAGGATTAATATCTGCAGGGTTCAGATATTTAAAACAATTTCAACTAAACTGTACGGACAAATTAGTATCAGGCACGTACAAATCACCATACTTGTTGCACTAAGGATTGAAATTAACCATAAGATGGAGGCTTTTGTATTGTCAATGAAAAGTTCGATTGGATACAGTACGACTACTACGGTTTTATCTGATAAAATAATCGTCAAATGTTTTACATTCCACTACGGTCAATGCGTTTGGCATTTTTAAAGTGCCTAGGGTGAGTGTAGATAATGCTAGATAACAAATGACTGATTTTTATTACGGAAAAACGAAAGTTCGCCGTCCTGAATTATTAGTAGTGATGAAAACCACCTCGTAGGGCCGACATGATTAGGAACTCTACAAGCGTAGCGGTACAACGGGGAAGGATAAGCACTAGTACCAGCAATTCTGTAGCAAAAACTTTTCAGTTATAACGTTACCTTCGCTTTATAGCTGGTTTCCCAAGTAACCCTAGGATCTTCATATTTGAAGACTTCCACGAAATTAAAGGTTAAATTCGCGCGTTTGATTTTTACTTCGGATGTCAAAGTGACATCAGTGAATCAATTTTAAAATATATCCCCAACTGCCTTCAAAACTATGCCTCTTAACATAGCTAACCTTCGAGTGTTCCATAAAGTGTGAGCTATGTGAACTGCAGTATCACAACTTTGACATGAAAATGATAGTGATATTAGCAAACATTAACAAATTCAAAATCGACACGCATATCCACAACACAACCTTGAGGCTTTGAAGTTTGCATTGTTGTGAAGCTTACTCAATACCCAATATTTCGTAAACATCATCCGTTAAGTTGTTATTAATCGTAATACGGAGAATGAGTCACATTTTTCTTCACGAATATGGTGGCGATATAGTGAAGAAATAGGTTAAAACCTTAGTGGCAATATGTTTTTATAATTGTTAGTGACTATGCTAGATTATTTGGGACAAATTTGTTACAAAACATGACGAAACATGAAGAAGGTACAGAAACAAGAAAGAAGTGTTTGTTCTCAACTCACTGTATGTTAAACACAATTAGATGGATAAAAACTTCAAAGTGGTTAAATTGTTTCTTTTACGAAGGCAGGTTGAATTTAGTGCTGACACTTTACTAGGGATAGGGTTAGTTTTAAGCCTTTCATTTGTAAAGGCTTCGTCGAATTCTTCCAAGACGAAAAGGGACTGTTCATTAACTGATCCTAATGTTTCCACTGTGTCATTATTGAGTTCCGTATCTGCCTGACGCCATGCTGAAGAACTATAAACGCCATTTTATTCTGAAACGCGTATAATCATGGGATTTCGCTCAGTAAAATGGTTTATTGCTCCACCTTTTCGTTTTTCCGATTGCCGCAATTTATGCTCACATTTAAAATGATGTACTTAGAGCTGATGTGTGGAGCTACACTCAACGTTTTCACGTCAACCGAGTGTGACGTAGACAAGAATAACGGTCATGTTTACATCAATATATTCGATGGATCTGTCACATAACTGTGTAAATGTTGTTAAAAAACTAGATTGTGGTGTGAATTTTGCCGTGAATGTAGTTCTTAATAAACATACCAGACTGAATCACACCCGGACACACGCACTACATGCTGGAATGCTATACTAAGTTAAAGAAAGCTTAGCAGTAGTCGTGGTCGTTTTAAAATGAACTGTCAGTAAATAGTAGAGAAGGGCTTCTGGCTAGGTTTAGTTGTGGTAGTTGCGCTGCAAACCGTGTTTTGATGTTTCAACAATCTTAGTTTTCAGTTTCGAAGTAATATCATTCTTTTTTAGGTAAATCATATTAGCCTATAAAATATCCTTTTTTGTTGTTAGTCTATATATAGCTTTTGAGGTTCAAGGCTTAATTATCTACGTACAGCAATTTTAAGCGACATTTCTGTCCAAATGAAGTAATAATTACGATACCTCTTGAGTTTAGTATACTTGGTTATCGTAAAATTCAGTTTCATCAAGATAATAACAGTACTTGAAGAAGGTAATGAAGTTCACAAGCCCGGTAACCAGAGTTGCCTAAATTTTTCTTACTGTTAGAGTACTTTACCTTCTAATCTAGAAAACAATTTGTATAAGATTTTTTAGTTGTAGATGATGGATTTACCACGTCTTAATTAAGTGTAAGTGGCTGTGGGTCGACATCAAAAATCTGTTTAGCTACAGGTGATGTTATTTCATCAGACAACAAATCTCTTTGTATATCTTGCTGTTAAACGTGACACAAATACATTAGAATACGTAAATGGAAGCAAAAGAATCATAACCGTACATTAAATTATTTAGAACATACTATGCATTTTATGGGTTCATAAGAATGATCTAATATTTGACTAATATCCATTAAGATGTTAGTAAGTCACAGTTATGTAAATTCTCTGCTTAGAAACACTTATTTAATTAATTTGTTTACTTGTTTCAATCTTATGTGTACGTTCACTGGCCTAGTTTCATTTTTGCGATACAGGAATAGTAAGAGAAACTCGGTGAAATGTTGTTTGCTGAGAATTCCATATTGTTGATCAAAGCCATTACTAATTTCTTAATACGAATGAAACAGGAGTGAACTTTAAACGGACACTTTGAAAACTGTATCGTCGTTAGAATAATTTGAATATGGAACCCTCTCCACAGTTTTTAAAATTCAGATTGAACATTCACTTACGTTTCACGACCACTTCCACTTGTAGAGGTCAATCAAGCCTTAGGATAAATAGTTCCGTATGACTTTGACATTGATTCTGACCTCGGTAGTTTCACCAGACACTTCTAGCTGAATTCGCTTGATCATACATCCGCACCAGATTACGAGTGAGTACATCGTGCTACAATTCCCTCGCAACTTCCAGCCAGCTTAGATTAAACGATTATCCTTATATCGATAGCTTTCCAAATATGTTTTTAAACTCCTTCACATCTAACTAATTCTTCTCATTCTTTGATCATAAGGGTGTGATGTATACAGGCGTTATCAAACTCCAAATACCGATAACATTTTTACACTAATTACAAACTACTGGTTTTGCCCATCAATTTAAGTAGAATACCAAAGACTGTAGTTTTGCATCAACAAAGTGAAAATTGTTGGTGGAAATCTGCTGTAAATGTCCACTTGATATTTCTTTATTGATGAAATTGTTCATGAATAAATTTGCAAGTCTGACTCTGTTTTGATTCACTAAGTTCGTCGTCATAAGAAATCCATGAATTGCGAACATTTTGGCATATAGTTCACATGTAATAAGTAACACTTGAAGGTAGCAAAAAATATATTGATCTTGTCGCAACGGAATTACAGACGCAGGTCCGTGTAAGCATTATTAAAAGAAACAAGTCGGTGTGTCCGTAGCCATTTTACGACGTAGAGCAGCCATCACGACGCCTCACAGTAGTCAATGGATGGAAACGCGTTATAGATCCCTGTATCATATCTCACGGTTGCTAACTCGAATGTTTTATGATATGCGAACAATTCCTCAAATGTATCCAATTTAATACTAGTAACATAAGGGCAATCAATAAAGTATATTACCCGCTCGCCTAGCTTCCTAATGAACATACGACAGTAGCCCCGTTAAACGTGTCACGACCCCCGTCATCACGGTAAATATGTATATGTTCACTGAATACAATATAATTTTGATTTTTACTGTTAGGAAACATAACAGTTTGAAAATCAGAGTAAATGGTAATATACAGAAGATACACCATGGTGACTTGTCTTTTTTGATTGTCTGAAATAAATAATAGAGATTTTGGCTAAACATGTTCAATCAGTAGGACTCAGGTGTCAGTTTTTGAAGAAGTGGATTTACTGTGTGAGAAATAGTTCTATTTTTACTGTGTCGTCTAAATGACAGTGTTCGCGGACGCATTGACGTAGTAAAATCGCAAGAACTTTATCTAAAAATGTAATTTGAACAGCGAAAAACTGAAGGTTCTAGGCTTTTACACATCTCAATAACCTCAAACTGCCTGTTTACTTTATTGCAAAAGACTTCCGGAATGAAAAATCGTCGGAAGCATATAAATCTCGATAGGTTTGATAATCTGCTCAGGTTCACTCTCAATGGTTGTCACTGATATAACAACTTGCGACTGGCCATTACTTATTCTCCGAAACTACGCATCACTGATCAGATACCTTTTGCTGCAAAGATGATTGTCGATCATCTTTAATCAAGCTATCACATACCGGTCGAGATCATACTGCGATCGAAAGATGGCTTGGTAACGGATAAGCTTCAGATTATAAAGACAGCGTAGTAATAGCAGTTTAACTTTTCCCTCTAACCATGCTACTACGGCTTACTTTTATGGCCAAAAGAGCAGACACGCACGGAATAGTGATTACGGATTTCTGACTTTTGTTCGTCCAACATATTTTAACGTATCACATAATGACTGACCGTATCTTAAAACGCTATATATTCAACGACAAACCGTCCGCAATAGACCGAAAACATCTCTGAATTAGTCCCAAATTTTCAGGCTCATGGGTCTCATAATATTTTTGAATACACCACTGGTATCTACTACGAAGAACTCAGTGAGTTATCTATAATAACAATGCAAATGATAAAACGAAAACGGTTTTCTCCCATCGTCCTCGACAACATCATAACATTTAGTAATGAAAATGCAGGGAGTTCAAAAATCATTAGCGGATGTAACACTGATTTGGGCTAAAAACCCTTCCACTGATGTCTAATATCTACAAAAGATAGCTCAAAACAAAGCGAATCAACGTTTTATCACGCGGGCACGCCGGAAAGCACACATTGACTTGAGCAGTAGTAGTAGTAGTAGCAATAGTAGTAGTAGTAGTAAGAAACGAGAAAACAATACCGATTGAAATACATTGACACTTATATTAAGAGGACCACATAAATTACGTAAGTTCGGCATACTGAGTGACTTGATTCTGCAACGACACAAAAATCCAGTGGAAAAACAAACGGAACGAGGCAAGCCGACGGCTTTGCTTACAACGACATAGGAATTTATAATTCCCGCTTCATTCTGATCGATCGCTAAGTAGAGTGCTGACATTACTAACTGAAGTCAGTTTTATTTACAGTCAGAGTCGATATATGATGGATATTTTTCTGGTACTGTCTATTGAGGACGGTAGGACTAGGTGATGACTTTTCGAAAATATTTAGTATTCAAATGTTTGTGTCGTTGATCAGTTCTCCATTAAATCAAAAGTTCTTATTCGTGGTATTCTTAGAATCCTTTCTTTTTCCTTTGATCACTTTAGTGAAGAGATTAATCGGACGAATATATTTAAGCAGGCTGGTGCGTCTTGAATATAACTACATTTCCTTAGTATTAATGTAGCTGGATCACCTGAAAATCAACTGGAAGTTTTTTGAGCTGTGTAAAATTAAAATTCAGAGCAAAAACTGCCAAAGAATTCGAAATGAGTAAATCACTTCTATCGACGTAACAAACAAGTGGATAGATGTTTAGAAACATTTAACAAACAGAGATATCCATTGTAGTGCAGTTTGAGATAATCTTATGATAATATTGATAATCATGAATAAATATCTAGATATAGTGCATCTAGCATTGAAGAATAAAAGGAGCGTTTTGCCAACAATGATTTTAGTTAACGGCTTAAATAAGTGAAAGATAGTAGTTCGCGACTACGAATATAGTTATAGAACCTTCTGAAATTTTGAAGAAATACCTGTGTGAAAGTGGAAA